TCAGCCTGCTGCTTTTTTTGTAAATAAAGTTTTATTGGAACACAGCCATGCCATTCATTTACATATTGTCTATGGCAGCTTTAGAGTTACAGTGTCAGAGTTGAGTAGTGACTAAGACAGTTGGCCCACAGAGCTGAAAATACTGTCTGTCCCCTTACAGAAAAAGTTTGACAAACCCTGGCCTAATGCATCCATTGGGTGGATTCTAGCCTTGATCTGAAGTGATCACACTTGTGACACCTGCAGAATTCTCACTGGTTAACCCCTGCCATCTAGAGCAGGGAAAAAAAGTAGATGGGGGTCCAATATAAGTCCTCTGTATGGAAGGAACTGAGACGTCTAGAAACACCAGTCCTGGGAATGAAAAGCACTGGAGGTTACTGACTCCTGAAACTAACTAAAAGTTTGATTTAGTGAAATTGATCCTACCTACTTTCATTACATTTGCAAGAAGATCTGGGGATAATTATTACTATTACAAAGTAAGAATTTAGAATTAGAAAAGTATGTTGATTTCTGAGTAACCATTTGTGAAACAAATATATAACAGAAAAGATAAGCAAAATAATATTTTTTTTGAGAGCGAGTGGGGGAGAGGGGCAGAAGGAGAGAGAGAGAGAGAGAGAGAATATCTCAAGCCGTCTCCATACTCTGCACAGAGCCCAAAGCAGAGCTTGATACTACAACCCTGGGATCATGACCTGAGGCAAAATCAAGAGCCAGTTGCTCAACTGACCGAGCCACCCAGGTACCCCAAGCAAAGTAATCTTTTAAGATGAATTGACAACTGTCTCCATCCTTCTCAGTCTTCAGACTCAGGGTATCAGTACATCCAAAAAAAAAGTATATGCCCTCTAGAAGAGAGGAAGGTGTTATATGAACATGACTAGGAAAAGAAGGGTCTGGAAGAAACCTGTCTGTAGGACTTACTACCAATTGACCACTATATACCTATTTATTTGAATTACCTATTTATATAATTATTGTTTATTAACCAGAATGTTACTCCATGGGAGTATGGACCTGGTTTTGATTATTACTGTATTCATAGAGCCTTGATCAGAGTGTCCAGCATACTGTTGGGGGCTTGTTAAATATTGGGCTGAGTGGATTATAAAAAGAACTTTTTGGCAATACTCCATCAAATACATTGGAGTAAAGGATGTTGTGGCCAAGGGCAAGATGTCTGTTCCCCTTAGGAAGCGGATCCTTAACTGCAGAAGTAGACATATTAATATAGTAAGTGAGACCAGCATTTTTAAAAAGTGGAACAGAATAGGTGATTTCAGTGAACTCTTTAGAAAGTATTATTGGGGCGCCTGGGTGGCGCAGTCGGTTGAGCGTCCGACTTCGGCCAGGTCACGATCTCGCGGTCCGTGAGTTCGAGCCCCGCGTTGGGCTCTGGGCTGATGGCTCAGAGCCTGGAGCCTGTTTCCGATTCTGTGTCTCCCTCTCTCTCTGCCCCTCCCCCGCTCATGCTCTGTCTCTCTCTGTCTCAAAAATAAATAAACGTTGAGAAAGTGTAAGTATTATTTCATACAATTTTCTGGGAGAAGTATTTTTCCAGGATAAGTGTATTTCATAAAACTTTTCAGTTATATTTGTGTGCGTACTAGGCCTGATATAAAGTATATTTCTTCATGTCCTCATGTAGGTTGGGGTCAGAGAAATTTGAAATATATTCTGAGATAACACATTTAATTCAGTTAGAGGTAACAGTCTTTGACACGCTGAGACCTGGGAAGAGAGTTAAGACATTGGTATGAATGGATTTCTAAGTGTAAGTGGGTGATGGGAGATATTTCCTGATTTTATCGAGATGGAGATCCTGGCTATGTGTGGAGTATGGCAGTGAGGAAAGATAGTAAAAGGGGAAGGCCATCAGCCACCAAAAGGAGCTGGATCGCATTTCATCCTGCATTTCTCAGATAAGCATGCCTGAGTGAGTGAAATTATTAGATAAATGCATTGACCCTGCAGAGGCCAGAGGCGTCAAAGAATACAGGCTTATTCTCCCCTGCTCCCAGGACCGGGCCACATCTGGGTAGGGCAGTGGGTTCCAGCTCTGCTCACAATGAGAATGGAAGAACTCCAAACAAATTTTTTAGTAAGAATACAGACTCAGCATCACACCCAAAGTACCCAGGCATTAGCAGGGCGAACCTGTTCAGTTGGCACAGTGACTAGAGCCCATGAGCTTTTAGAGTTCCCCAAAATGCTTTAGATTCTTTTGAAATTAAAAAAAAACAAAAAACATGTAATCCAGCTTCAGTTGCATTCACAGTTATATCATTTCAGTTGCAAAGTGTAATTGTTAATACTTTTTACTTTTTATGGAGTAAGGGGCCCATGAAGGCAAAAGTCCCTGGAGTCATGAAAGTCCTACATGGCTCTGAGTATCAGGATATCAGAATCATTTGAGATGCTTGCTGAAAATGCATATTTCTAGGCACCGCTCTAGAGCTACAGAACCTGACTCCTTTGGGATGGGCCAGAACTTGCTAGCTCAGCAAACACCTCAGGTGATTCAAATACCAAAAATATTTAAGAATCTCTGGCCCTAGGGGAAACCCCCAAGACCTCTCATAGTCTCAAAGTGGGCTTGGTTTAGCAGGGACTTCTTATTGGGGTCAATTTGCCCTTCAGATTTACTGAACTAACCCTGTACTGTGCCCTTACTGTAATTTTCAGCTGAATATTATTAACACTCTGAGGACCCCTTGATGCTCTCGTGTTTAGTTGTAGTCTTGTATCAGCAGTGGCCTGTGTTTACTATCAGGCTCTCCTGTATCTGCCCTTAAGGATAAAGAGGTTTACCACCAAATGTATTTTCCAAATATTTTATTCAAAAAGGAGGTAAATGACATATATTTGTTTAGATTGAGGATAACTATGACATTTACTGACTGGATCATTACACTTTGGTGCAATACACCCTGATACTCAGGTTTGCCCTGAGTTAACCAAGCCAGTGGAAAACAAGAGCAAATCAGAGAGCAGGTCTCTCCTTTTTATTTCTTACATTCATTGTCAAGCCTGCGTTCAGACACCAGTGGCTGTGAAGCCACTCCTAAGCAATAAGGAGTCTTTGCCAATCCACTTAAAAAACAAATAGCAACAGCAAGAAACATTTCAAGATGTCCATTAATGAAGCAGTACCTGTGGCCCCCTCAGCCTCCCAAACTTGGAGTGAGGTAGTTCGCAGCAGCCAAGGAAGAGTGCCTTCAGCCTCCTAGTGACACCCCCTGGCATCAGTCTAGTCTCTTGGCCTACAGAGTTTCAAAGGAAGAGACTATAGTGGAAATCAAAGGCAGAAGGAAAAAGCCAAGGAAATATGAGGGTCATTCATAGATAACCTGAGCTGTTTCTGAAATGGTAACATTAATCAGAGGCCATATTCTGTAATGGGAAGAGCAAAGGGCTTGATGACACAAGGACCAAGATTGTGTTTCTGTCTCTGAGGACTACTACCTAGGTGACCTCAGGCAAGGAAGCTTCTTCCCTCTGAGCATGTTTCCTCAACTTTAAAATGCGGATATGGGAGCGCCTGGGTGGCTCAGTCCATTAAGCATCCAGCTCTTGATTCTGGCTCAGGTCATGATCTCATGGTTTGTGAGGTTGAGCCCGCATGGGTCTCTGCACTGACAGCACACAGCCTGCTTGTGATTCTCTCTCTCCCTCCCTCTCTCTACCCACCCCTCAAACTCACACTCTGTCTCTAAAAATAAAAATAAACATTAAAAAAAAGAATAAAATGGGGATATATTCTTACCTCACAGAATTGTTTGAAGGAATAAAATAAATACTCTATGTGAAAGCACTTATTACCTGGTACAATCTAGGTGCTCAATGAATAGTGTCTGAATCTAAAATTTACCTGGGGAAAATTAAAAAAAAAAAAAACACAACACAACACTTTACTATCTAATAGATACTGAGCTAGCAAATTAGCAATATGACTGCTTGATTCCTTTGGTTTATTTATGCACAAGTCTTTAAAATCATCAAAATTGAGTGCATAAAGAAAATATGCTATTTAATAACATTAGAACTCAATCTTAACATAGTAGAAGGGTTTCACGCTGACAGTGTGGCAGGCTTATCTCACTGTTGTCACTGGGCAGAACTAAGACCAACAGAAGTTAGATGAAGGCAGATTTGGGGTCAACATACAAATGGACCAGTCTGAGCCAGGGTTGCTGTGCTGCACAAGTGGGTGGGACACAACCCCCTTGGGCCACAAACTAGACCACAGCCCCTGAACCATGTGGGGCACATCTGCACTGTGATTCCAGAAGCATGACTGGAGCTGTCCCACCTGTCATGGTTCTATTCCCTGTTGTACAATCTTCAATTTAAGGCAAAGTCTAGGATGTAAAAGAGATGGCTCCTACTTTGGGTTGGAGTCTGACTATGCTTTGTCTTTCTTAGTTGGTTTATAAAACGTTTCTAGAGCTTCTATTTACATCAGGCACAGACCTCAGCCCAGGGATTAAAAAAAAAACAAAATGAGTTAGACACCATCCCTGTCCTCAGGGAAATAAGCAATCCTACAGTAATATTGTGCTCAGTAATATTGTGCTCCTCAAGGAATATGGCATCCCAATGTGATACCAGCTGTCTCCTTCAGCAGCAGCTGAAATTGCATGGCTGTGCCCTCTGACTTTAAGATGAACATTATTCTGAGGTGTCTGGGTGGGTCAATTGGTTGGGCGTCCGATTTCGGCTCAGGTCACGATCTCACAGTCTATGAGTTCGAGCCCCACGTCAGACTCTGTGCTGTCAGCTCAGAGCCTGCAGCCTGCTTCAGATTCTGTGTCTTCCTCTCTCTGTCCCTCCCCCGCTTACACTCTGTCTCTGTCTCTCTCAGAAATAAACATTAAAAAAAAAATCAGATTATAAGATGAACGTTATTCTCTCCTTCCTGAAAATACAAATATGATCTTTCCTTCTACAGATTTGATGTCCACAGTTGTGGACAAACAGTTGTAACTAAGTTATCTGATTTAAATTCCCAAATTTATTGCTCTCAAGAGAGGTACATTCCAGTTATGAAGAAGCTGAAGAAAGTCTGATTTCAGTGATAAGTATCCTTTGATCTAAGAAAATGCTGTTAAGAGGGGGGAAAAAAATCTAAACTTGTTTTACAACACAGTATGTATAGATGAGCAATGTCTTCTGGGAAGGATACCAAGATGTTAATATGTAAAAGTAATGAGGTACTCTGGGTAAGCCTGGTAGTCATAAAATACCACAAATAAACCCGGATTATGCACACGGTCTGTGACAGTGTCATACAGATCAGTAGGGTTGTCAGGGCTCTTTGGTGGAGGCACAATCAGTGACTGATTTCCACGTGTGTAGGTTCCAGTAAGTACTCGCACATAGTACATATGCTTTTTCCCATTTTTGTCTGGTCTGGAGTATGTATCGCTGGCAGAATAACAGGCATTGACGGCAAAATAGGTTCCCTTTCCATATGCCACAGCTGTGAAGATAAAGACATTTTTTAAAAGTTCAATTTGGTCTATAATCTGACATATTGACCCGGTACGTCAAATAATGTTATAATAACGTTCAGTTCTTCTCTCCAAAGCCTCTTAAGAATTTTTTTCATGTGTTTTAATTTTTTTAATGTTTGTTTATTTCTGAGAGAGAGAGAGAGACAGAGACAGAGCACAAACTGAGGAGGGGCAGAAAGAGAGGGAGACACAGAATCTGAAGCAGGCTGCAGGCTCTGAGTTGTCAGCACAGAGCCCGACGCGGGGCTCAAGCTCATGAAATGCAAGATCATGACCAGAACTGAAGTTGGACGCCCAACCGACTAAACCACCCAGGTGCCCCTCATGTGTTTTTAATTTTTAAAAATCATTTCTCCACCCCCGAGGCCAGTCAGTCCTTCTGGGAGGACACATAATGACTCTTAACCCTGAAACTCTGGCTGCAGCACAGCCACCAACCCTGCAAACCACACTGTCCCTTGCCCAGGTTGGGTTCTCGCAGCTGACACCCCATTCGTAGCAGGCAGATTGCTTGCTGCCTTACCGTTTTTCCCAGCGTAACTGCGGTTAAAGCCATTTCGGTTGACATGTGGCACTGAGTCAACATCTGTCCCATGGAAGAGCTGCTTCTCATTGTTTTTATGTCCATACTTGGCATCCATGGCTTTTTTCTTTGTTTGGTAGCTATTCCAAAGATCTGGATTCTGGATCCTCTCAATCTACAAATCAATAAAGAAAAATATTCTGTCGGTGCCAAGAGCCTTTGGCAAGATACAGCAAATGAAACATGACCATTATTTTTCATAAATGAAAATTAAAATAAACAACAATTTCAATGCCAGATGGCACCTTTCTGCATTCAGAAATCTTTTTAGATCCAGTGTTTCACAAAAACAGACCTTGGGAAGAATATTAATTTCATTTTTTAACATCTTTTATGTACCACATGAGAGCAAACAGCGTTTAGGATCTTAAGTCCTCGTTGTGTGAAGTTGGCTGACCAAGCCTCCCCAACTCCTGCTTTTCACCTTCAGTTCAAGGGCAGTTCAGTTTCTGTCTATGTCACTTTGTCACTTTGCCTCTCTCCTCCTCCGTCCTTCTGGGACACTGGTTCACCTGGTTAGCCATGTTCTAATTGTGGGAGAAGTGCTAGAGGGTCTGGTCCAGAAGGAAATTAATTAATGAAAATCAATCTCTGGTCCAGTTGGAAGAGTGGGGCATAAATCCTGGTGGAATAGGGTCTGCTTGCAGACCACAGTTATGCTTTGACCATCCATCCTCTTTGGGAAGTGGCCTCCAGGGCTGTGGGGGAAATTCCTTGAGTCCTGTATTGCAGGACCCAGGAGGAATCAGACAAATCTAGAATCTGTAAGCAAACTTGCTTGGGTTCTTAAAAAAAAAAAAAAAAAAAAAGATGGGGCACCTGGGTGGCTCGGTCGGTTAAGTGTCCGACTTCAGCTCAGGTCATGATCTCACAGACCGTGAGTTCGAGCCCCGCGTCGGGCTCTGGGCTGATGGCTCAGAGTCTGGAGCCTGCTTCCGGTTCTGTGTCTCCCTCTCTGTCTGCCCCTCCCCCGTTCATGCTCTGTCTCTCTCTATCTCAAAAATAAACATAAAAAAAAAAAATTTAAAAAAAAGAGAAAGAAAGGAAGGAAGAAAGAAAAGAAAGAAAGAAAGAAAGAAAGAAAGAAAGAAAGAAAGAAAGAGAAAAGAGAAGAAAGGAAAGGAAAGGAAAGGAAAGGAAAAGAAGAAAGAAAGAAAGAAAAAAGAAAATCTAGGCAAAACAGAGCCAGAATGTGGGGCATTCTATAATACAACTGGCTTAAAGTCTTTAAAAAATTCAGCATCATGAAAAATGATTTTTTAAAATGCAGGAGTATATTCTAGATCAGAAGAGACAAAGGAGACAAAATGACCAAATGCAGTGTGTGAACACATATTTGGAGAGGGGGGAGTAATTACAAAGCAATTGGGGAAATTTGAATATGGACTCTATTAGATATTACTGTATTACTGTTAATTTTCTTATATGGGATAACGCTGTTGTTATTTAGGAGACGGTCTTTATTCATACGAGATATGTGCTAAAATATTTATGAGTGTCATGAAGTCTGCAACTTACTGTCAAATGCTTCAGCAAAACCTGAGAGAGTAAGAGAGAAAAAGCAAATGTGGCAAAATTACTGAATCTTTGTGTAAGTTTATGGATGTTAAAAGTCTTAGTCCTAGGTCCTAATAGTCATGGAGGATGACAGCCACCTATTTTTCCTGTTAGTGTTTTCATACTGTCAGGGATTTCCAAAGAGGTGTCTTAAGTATTACCTAGCTCTACTTTTATCTGTTTCACACACTGGACTTTCACTTTAAGATTTTATTTTAAAAAAGGGTCTACAAAAAAATAGTAAAATCATTTCTCTGGCCGTCCACTAACACATGGCAAACCTCCAGAGCCCACTGTAGACATGGCTGGTCCACCGGACAGTTCTGCTCAATCTGGACTTGGCATCTCCTCAAAATGTGCCAGTCAGCCACTACCAGATGACTGTACTTGATATTTGAGATGAAACATATTTGTTATTGCAGAACCAGACCATCAAAGTGCCGCACACCTGAATCACACTGTCTTGGTACCTCAGAATTGCTTTTGCTCAAATGGTTTACGTTGAGGATTAAAAAATGGAAGCTGTGGTACAAAATTTGACATTGAATTTATTGTGAGGATGATTTTGAAAATATTCTCCAGGACTTGATTCACAGTATAAATCTCTCAGTTAGCCAGTCTCAGTACCGTGAAAAGCTATGAGTCTCCTGATTACATGATTTTCTTTCTGATTTATGAAAATTATGAATCTCAAGAATGCGTGTTTACTTCTTTGCCTTGTCTACCAGGAAGCTCAAGGAAACAAATCTGTGGTCCTTCTAATAACTACCTAGGAACTCCTGTTATATATTTTTGTAAATGATAATACCTCTGTATTATCTTATTTTTCCTACCCTCCTTTTCTTTTTTGTCCATTTTTCTTTATTTTATCTGAAGATATGATATATATCCTTGTTAAGACGCTTCAAATCGTTTTGAGTTATTATGTGCTTAACTACATAAATAAACAGAGTGGTGGCAGAAATAGAAAATTTGGTAAGAAAGAAAATGCAGGCCTTATTGGCAGACTTGTTTTGATGGATGAAGGGAAGGTACCCAAAGGTCTCTAACTTTACTCAGAAAGTGGTGGAACCAAGGACAAAAGTGGGGAAGGAAAGGGAAATAGTGAGATGATGAGTTAGATTTAGGGAAATTGATTTAGCAGACAGATATTAAAGCAGAGATGTTTTTAGGCCATTGAGTATATGTTGTAGGGGCGCCTGGGTGGCTCAGTCAGTTAAGCATCCGACTTTGGCTCAGGCCATGATCTTGCCATTCCGAGTTTGAGCTCCACGTCAGGCTCTGTACTGACAGCTGAAAGCCTGGAGCCTGTTTCAGATTCTGTGTCTCCTTCTCTCTCTGCCCTTCCCCTGCTCATGCTCTGTCTCTGTCTGTCTCTCTCTCAAAAATAAATAAACATTAAAAAAAAAATAAAAAGTAAAAATACATGTTGTAGAGTATGATCAAAGATCCAGGTTGGTGATGTTGATTTGGGAGCTGTCAACATTGAAATAGCAGCTGAAGCCAAGAAGGGTAAAAACATTTCTTGATGAAGTACAGAGACAGAAGAGCAAACTATAAATCCTATGGGCCAAGCTAGGATTAGCAGTTTGGAGAAGAAATAAATAACAGGGATAACGAAAGGAAAACTAGTTAAAGAAGAAAGCATTAATATAATATTGCCATAGAGGTCAAATGGGACCATAATTTCAAAGAGCAACACTGAAGCTTAAAAGTGCAAGATGGCGGGGCGCCTGGGTGGCGCAGTCGGTTAAGCGTCCGACTTCAGCCAGGTCACGATCTCGCGGTCCGGGAGTTCGAGCCCCGCGTCAGGCTCTGGGCTGATGGCTCGGAGCCTGGAGCCTGTTTCCAATTCTGTGTCTCCCTCTCTCTCTGCCCCTCCCCCGTTCATGCTCTGTCTCTCTCTGTCGCAAAAATAAATAAATGTTGGAAAAAAAAATTTAAAAAAAAAAAGTGCAAGATGCCAAAATGAGGGAGATGAACAAGGAAAGGACCATTGGAATTAATCACAGAAGCGAGTGCTGCTGATCTGTGAATGGTGGAGCAGAAGCACAGAATCCTGATCTGAGGGCCTCTGTGTGTCTTTGTGGTGTTTTCTAGTTATTGAATCCAACCCTGCAGCTCTATCTTTGAATTTTTACTAGCTTGCTTCACAGATTCTTGTGAATTCGTTTCTGCTGGGATATCAGGGTGGGTGGGGGAATGTTGCTGTGGGTCCGTTTTCATTTTCTTGGGCTAGCTTTTGGAACTTTTTCTTTTTCTTGAAGCTGCTGCCCTTGCTGTCAGCAGCCTCTTCAGGTCCGCTGCTGAGTGGCTCCTCCTTTGGAGGAAGAGAGTTTCCTCTTTTTGGGGGGGATGTTCCTGTTTTCTTCCTCTACAGGGTCACTAACTGGTTCCTCTTTGGGAAAAGACTTCTTCCTTTGGGAAGGCTTCTACTGTCAGCTGTCTCTTCAAGATCACTACTAACCAGCTCCTCACTGAGTCAACATGTGTTTTTAGTATTCTAACATCATATTGCAATCTAATATTATATTGTAATAACTGACACGATCTCAATCTTAATGTCTCTGTAATTATAGTGATGGGAGTAGAATCTACAATCAAAAATCGGATTGCCATAAAATATTCTAATTCTGGGAAAACAGTGTGGTTGCAAATGTATTTGTAGATTTATCCAGGACCATGATGCCACTCATCTCCACCATTCTTAAGAAACTCCATGTCAGCAGAAGGCTTACCTTCTCTATGTAGAAGTGCGAGCAGGTCTGATTAAACTTGCTTGCCACTGTGGCATATTCTGCATGACCAGGCTGTAGCTCAACCACACAGACATCCTGCTGTTTCATATCACTCCAGTGCTCGGGGATCCCAACTGCAAAGAGGACATTTGAGGACTCCCACACACCTGGGGAGGCCCATCCACACGCTCCTGGTATGCTCTGAAGAACTGAGTATCATCTGTGTTCTTACTTTATTATCTCCTAACTCAACGTGTTCAAGAAGTTCTTATCTTTCTCAGAAAATGTCTCTCAAAGCATGGCCCACAGACAACCTACATCAGAACCAATCGTAATGCTTGTTAAGAGAAAACCCCACAGGGGCACCTGCATGGCTCAATCTTAGGTTAAGCATCTGACTTGACTCAGGTCATGATCTCGTGGGTGTGGGTCCGAGCCCCACATCAGGCTCTGTGCTGACAGCTCGGAGCCTGGAGCCTTCTTCAGGTTCTGTGTCTCCTCTCTCTGCCCTCCCCTGTTCATACACTCTCTCTCTGTCTCTCTCTCTGTCTCTCTCTCAAAAATGAATAGATGTTAAAAAAAAAAAAAGAAAAAACCCACAGATCTACTGAATCAAACTCTCTGAGGGGTGGAACCCATGTACCCGCATCTTAACAAGTTTTGATCATGCTCAGATTTAAGAAGTGCTGGTGTGGTGTAACTCAAGCTGCTTATTCTGTTCAGTCTCTAATCTGTCATCATTTAATAATTTAACAATAAATTATTTCCCTACAATGGTCTTGTTAGAAAAGCGTGGAATTTTGCCAGAACGCCTCACTACCACAAGGCCCTCCGCATCTATTCAGTATTTTTCTCCACATCCTTAAGAGCTGGGTGGCTGGCAGGTTTTGCTGTCTTCTCTTCTGCTAAACAGAACATCATACTTGATTTGTCATTCCCCTAGGGTGGCTCAGAGTCTGAGGAATTCATTCACACGAATCTCATGAGAGATAAAGATAATGTACCAGAAGCCAATTTACTAGTTTTCGGTGCTGGACTTGTGCGGTTCAAAAACAGGAATGTCTATCTACACAACACAAACAGTCCCTTCTCGGGGAGTCGATCCAGTCAGAGAATTCCAAGGCTGCCTCCTGATGCATGCATTGAGGAAGACTTATGTTCAGGGCAGGAGAGGAAGTGAATTCTGGGAGAAGATCCTACAAGCTCCCAGTGCTCTCCAGGTTATCAGTCACAGAGAGAGTGCCCACTCTGACTAGGCTGTCTTCTCCTTTTGTTCTAGAAAACCTTGAGCCACTTTTCTTTAAAGCCCACGGCTTTCCCTCTTCTGACTGAAGGAGCCATTATCTCTGCAGCAGAACTGGCCCTGGAAAGCTGATAAACTGTAGAGATGGGAACAACTGCAAGGCTTGGGTACTGTCACCATTAAGATGGTCAGCCTCAGACTGTTGAGTGCACCCATGCTACGTTTCCCCAGCCATAATGTAAGCGCATTAAGCTCAGACACCCAAGTTTTCTATTTCATCCCATAAGACTTGCCTGAATTTGATCTGCTTGAGTACAATTTCGATGTATGTACCAAATAGCGTTAAGCCCAAAGTAGGGGTAAAATAATGGATCACAAGCACACAGGTTTGACTCACCTTCAGATTTCATGAGGCGCCGAACAGGTAAACTGCGTCCTTCTGCATCTGTAGCACTGTACTTGCACAGGTCCACGGTGTAGGTCTGGTGATTAACTTTGACAACAGCTATCCTTTTTTTTGCCTTCCTTGCATTCTCCAATTGCAGATTGACTATTTTCTTAAAACTATGAAAAGTGTCTTTGTCATAATATTGCCATTCTACAAATTCACTGATAAAATCTGCCTGGGATTTCTGTTCTTTGGCCAATCTAATTCTCTTGATCATTTCCTCAATTGCATTTCTAGCCTCTGTCAAATCTTTGCCAATCCCAAAAACTTCAATCAGAGGTCTTTTACTGTCCAAGCAAATGGCAATATTTAAGTTCTCCTGCAACTCATTCAATTTCTGATATTCTTTTTCATTAAAATCTTTGATACACTCATCTTCATTGGTGTAAGGACACAGTTCCTTTGTAATCAGATCCTGTATCCAGGTGAGAGCGTTTTCCACACATTTTACATTTTCACCACACACCTGAAAACTTGCTGATTCTGTTTTCTTTTTCAAAACCAAAGGATTCTGCTTTTGGGGAGATTGACTCGGGGATCCCATAAATGCTAAAAAAAGGAAAAGAAAAAGAAAAAGAAAAAAAGAAAAGCAAAGAAAGGAAGATTAGCTATTTCTCTCTCTCTCTTTTTGGTTACTGTGCTGTACATTAATCTCCAGGACTTATTTATCTTATAACTGGAAGTTTGTACCTTTTGTCCCTCTTCACCCATTTCATCCCTCCTCACCTCCCAATCCCACCCCCTGCTGCCTCTGGCAACCACCAATCTCTTCTCTGTATCTAACAGTTTGTTTGTATTTTAATATTCCACATATTAAGTGAGATCATCTTATTTCATTTAGCATAATGCCCTCAAGGTCCATCCATGTTGTCACAAATGGCTGGATTTCCTCCTTTGTTATGGCTGAATAATATTCCATTGTCTGTGTGTGATATATATACATATATATATATATGTATGTATATATATCACATTTTCTTTATCCATTCATTTGTTGGTGGACACTTAGGTTTTTCCATGTCTTGGTTTTGTAAATACTACTGCAATGAATATGGGGGTACAGATAATCTTTTTAAGATATTTTTTTTATTATTACCTTAAGGTAAATACCCAGAAGTGGAATTGCTGCATCATATGGTAGTTCTATTTCTAATTTTTTGAGGAACCTCCATACTGTTTTCCACAATGGCTGGACGAGTTTGCATTCCCACCAACAGTGCATGAGGGTTTCTTTTCTCCATATCCTCCCCAACACTTGTTATTTCTTGTCTTTTTGATACTAGCCATTCTATCAGGTGAGGTGATTTCTCCTTGGGTTTTGATTTGCATTTCCCTGATGATTAGTGATGTTTATCACCTTTTTATGTGCCTGCTGGCCATCTGTATGTCTTCCTTAGAAAAGTGTCTATTCAGATCCTCTGCCCATTTTTAAATCCAATTATTTGTCTTCTCCTATTAAGTTGCAACAGTTCTTTATATATTAACCCCTTTGTATATTAACCCCTATCAGATACGTTATTTACAAATATTTTCTCCCATCCCATAGGTTGTCTTTTCATTTTGTTGATGGTTCCCTTTGCCATGAAAAGCTTTTCAGTTTGAGGTAGTCCCACTTGTTTATTTTCTGCTTTTGCTATTTGTGCTTTGGTGTCAAATCCAAAGAAAATCACTGCCAAGACTGATATCTAGGAGCTTACTCCCTGTTTTCTTCTAGAAGTGTTATGGTTTCAGATCTTTAATGCATCTTGAGTGGATTTTTGTGTATGGTGTAAGACAGTAATCCTGTTTCATTCTTTTGCATGGGGCTGTCCAGTTTTCCTAGCACCATTTATTTTAGCATATGTGCTGCTGAAGCAAGCACCCAAACACTATTCATTGAAGAGATATCCTTTCCCATTGGCTCCTTTGTTGTAAATTAATTGACCACACAGATGGTCCCCAACTTACAATGGTTCAACTTACTATTTTTCAACTTCATGATAGTATGCAAATCATACTCATTCAGTAGAAACTATACTTTGAACTTTGATCTTTACCTGAGGTAGTAATATGTGGTGGCATACTCTCTTGTGATGTGGGACACTGGCAGTGAGCCATAGCTTTCAGCCAGCCAGGCATTGTGAGGGTCAAAAACCACTACACTTACAACCATTCTGTACCTGTAAAGTCATTCCGTTTTCACTTCCATTACAGTATCCAATAAATTACACGAGATGTTCAACACTGTTCTATAAAATAGGCTTGTGTCAGATGAGTTTATCCAACTCTAGGCTAATGTGTTCTGAGCATGTTTAAGGTGGGATAGGCTAAACTATGATGTTCAGTTGGTTAGGTGTGTTAAATGCATTTATGACTTATGACTTAAATGGATTATGACTCAATTTACAGTGGGTTTATCAGGATGTAACCCCACTGTAGGTCAAAGAAGATATGTATATGTGTGGATTTATTTTTGGGCTCTCTAATCTGTCCCATTAATCTGTCTGTTTTTATGCCAATGCCATACTGTTTTTATTACTATAGCTTCATAACATAGTTTGAAATCAGGAAGTGTGATGCCCCCAGCTTTGTTCTCCTTTCCTTTTTTCTTTCTTTCTTTCTTTCTTTCTTTCTTTCTTTCTTTCTTTCTTTCATGTGCATGAGCGAGTGCAAGCAAGGGAGGGGCAGAGAGAGAGAGGGAGAGAGAGAATCCCAAGAAGGCTCCAAGCTGCCAGCACAGAGCCCAATGCAGGGCTTGAACCCATGAACTGTGAGATCATGACCTGAGCCAAGATCAAGAGTCAGATGCTCAACTGACTGAGCCACCCAGGCTCTTCTGTTCTCTCTCAAGATTGCTCTGGTTATTAAGGGTTTTGTGGGTCTGTACAAATTTAAGATTGTTTGTTCTATTTCTGTGAAAAATGCCTTTGGAATTTTGATAGGGATTGCATGGAACCTGTGGATTGCTTTAGGTAGTATGGACATTTGAACAATACTAATTCTTCCAACCCATAAGCATGGTATATTTTTTCCATTTGTCATCTTCAATTTCTTTCATCAATGTCTCATAGTTTTCAGAGTATAGGTCTTTCACCTTCTTGGTTAAATTTATTCCTAGGTGTTTTGTTCTTTTTGATAAAATTATAGATGGGATTATTTTCTTAATTTCTCTTTCTGATAGTTATGTTTAATATTAGCTATTTCTCATGTGACATCCATATTAGGACTATGCATTTCATAAAAAAGGTCAACTCACATGTTAATTTAGACGGCAGAGACTGTTGGGGAGAAGTCAGAGATGGTTCTCTTTTTTTCATGCTGGCCCAAAACACGTCCAGTAGGTGAGGCATAAAGATAACAACTTTAACTTTTTTCACAGATCGGACAAATCCTTTTTGGATAAAGTCTTCAATGGCATCAATGATGGCATCAGCAACCATACCTGGGTCTTGTCTGGCATTTCCTAGAAAAGCAAATAATAAAAACAGGGAGGGGGAAAGACCCAACTGGGAAGGCTGAGCAGTAAGTTGGGGATTCCAGTCCTCACAGAATGAATGCCCCCCTGCCCAACTCTTTCATCATCTCAGGCTTTTCTAGCAATGCACGGCCAAACACTTTTGAGGTCCTAGATGCAACAGGGAGCTCCTATTCCAGGAAGTCAGGAAGTCACTAGCCCAACAATGAACAAAGGACCCAGAAATCTAACTTTTGGTTTCGGATGTTCGTATCTACTCTGTTGAGCTGACCCTACCTCACTGTGCTCTTCTGTGTTACAAGGATAATTAACTATTCTCGGCTCATTGGTGTCCTCAAAAGGTCCATAAAGAGCAAAATATTCTAATATATGTGGAAATATCAACTCTTTTTTGCTCATAGTCACCTGACTATATGCATGTATCTTTATTCTTCCAGATGTCTTTGGGGACCTGATTTAAACTAAGCTAATTTTGTAAGATACCTGGAGCTGTAAACTATCTGTTATAATCTATAATTCTTTGCACACAAGTTATCCATGAGCCTCTAGGAAATCTTTTCTAGAACACTCAGTGAGATTTTAGCTGACTTGCTAGGTTTGAAGTGCCACCTAAGCAAGTCTTTTTCTTTGTATAGCATGTTCCATATCTTGTTTCTCAGGCCTAATGCCCAGGTAAGATCATGAAAAGTCCCTTGAAAAGTCCCATGAAAAGCCATGGAAGCAGTCGCATACAAATAAATGGCAGCTGGAAAATCACAATGAGGAGCAGTGTAAAAATCCCATGACCAACCTGGTGTGGTAGACTAACAGCCCACTTGGATGTTCCCTGTTGACGGTGTCCACCTCTAATGCAGAAATGAGAGTAGACCACTCTGGCCTGGCTACATAGACACTTGTGGGAATGTAGACAAACCCTGTACAAAACTAATCAAATGGGTTTGTTCAGGCTTTTTTTTTTTTTTTTTTTTTTTTTTTTTAGATGATCAGGAAAAGAGAGCAATTCTCCTTTGCAAAGCTATGGTTATCCCGTGATTTTTGGAAGATTTTAAATGGGAGTGTTCAGACACATTCATTCACTGTCAACAAACATTTACTATGTCCCATCATGGGCTAGCTCTCAGCTAGGCACTTAGAACACAGAGGATGTGATATATGGGCATAAATAGGTATTCAACAGGTGAAGTAAGAGAAGCTGAGGGAAAGACTATGCCTGATAGAACTGTAACAGGGGTTTGATATGCTTAGCCTGGTGTGTTCAGGGCAAAAGATCTGTTTTTTGAGAAGGATAAATCTAGGGTGGGTCTCCTCCACAGAAGCCCAGATCTAGATAGGAGGCTATAATAAAAGTTTAGGCAAAATACCAGAGCTGAACAAAAAGAAGAGGCCAGAATGAAGAGTCAGGTACAGGGACTGAGAAGATAGTTGGGAAGTGAAGTCAGCAGGACCTAGTGACCAGCTGGGTTTATCTGTGACCCTGTGTTTGTTCTTTTTTGCCTCCCACCCACCAGTATGTGTGCATCATGAGTCGTGCTGTATTGCAGTAGTTTGTTTACATGTCTGTCTCTCACAGTAGGCTAGGTGCTCCTTATGGACTAGATCCTTTTCTGAGACATCTTTCTGTCTCCAGTGCCTAAACACAGTGCCTGGCATATGGCAGGCACTTGGTAAACATTTAATCAAATTAGTTAATAAGCTAATGAACATAGGAGTGATAAAGACTATAGAGTCAAGGATTATAGGTAGAAAGTGATGCTTTTAACATGATCAGGGATACAAGAGGAAGGGCAGGTTCAGGGCAGAAGACAACAGAAGAAAGTTCATAGTCTACATTGAACTTGAGGTGCTTGCGAATATCGCTGGACACCCACCCCTTCCCCCACGCAGGTGTCTGTAAGGAACCAGGGAGAGGGCTTCTTTTACTGCCAGAAGCTGTCTCAATCACAGTCCCAGTTCAACACATAAACACCACTAAAGGGTCCTTAGTGCTTTAGTCTAAGGTGGTGATAGAGACTGGTAAAGACGACAAGCAAGGAGAATCTGCTAACCTTGATTTATTTGTGCAGACCAGCAATGCAACCAGGTCAGTGGAAGAGACAATAGGTTTTCAGTAACCCAGAAATACTCAAACATGTGTATATTTATATAAAATTAAAACTGCCTCATTTCCTTGTTTTTTCTTGGGAAGGTCTGTGCCACCCTTGAGTTGTCTGATTTCTTGGCCCAAATAAAATTTATGTAGAAATACAAGACCAGAGCTCAGAAGAAAAACCAATGGAGACAGAGACTGGTGAGTCATTAATGCGTGTTCATAAAAGATAGATACACAGATACATAGATAGAGATAGAGAGAGAGACAAACAGGCAGACAGACATGTTGGCTAATCTCCCAAGATTGGATAATACTACATGGGGAATGAAAACATAAAGGGACTATAAATTATACTTTCAGAAATAGGAAAGTAATAAAATAGATGTAGCATTCCATGTGGGAACATTAAGAGGAATGGTAGAGAATTACAGAAATCAAAATAACAGAGGATTAGAAGAAGGCTCAGAAGGGGCGCCTGGGTGGCGCAGTCGGTTAAGCCTCCGACTTCAGCCAGGTCACGATCTCGCAGTCCGTGAGTTCGAGCCCCGCGTCGGGCTCTGGGCTGATGGCTCAGAGCCTGGAGCCTGTTTCTGATTCTGTGTCTCCCTCTCTCTCTGCCCCTCCCCCGCTCATGCTCTGTCTCTCTCTGTCCCAAAAATAAATAAACGTTGAAAAAAAATTAAAAAAAAAAAAAAAAGAAGGCTCAGAAAATGACAAGGGTGGTTAAGTGTACTGAGCTAAGCTTTTGGAGGGCTTAGAATGCCAGTGGGCAACACTCAATTGCTGCACAATGGAATCACCAATCCAGGGCTCTTTGGGACCAGTCAGCCACGTTCCACTTCAAGTCTGAGAATGTTTGCCTCCCAGACCAGCTCTCTTACGGAAAACTAAGCAGAAATTCCTAACCAATGCCCATGACTCAGATTCCTGGGAAAAGAGCTCAAAGAACATCACTTCACTAATGGTAAACCCAAAGCACCATCCTTATACATGAAGACCCACACAACTATTAAATAGTTTGAGGAAAACAGAGGCAAGTAGGCTGAAAAGGGGAAATTTGGAGTTGAATTTATGACCCATTAGAACCAAAACCCATTAGGCTCTGGTGACTGAGAGGCTTCTGTGTGGAGATGTCCTAAGGCCAACCCACGCAGCCAACTGTCCAAGAGGTGTAAGAAGAAGGCAGGAATATTCATCTGAGAGTCAGCAACTGCGAGGTGCAAGCAGATGCTCTGATGTTCTCATGGAGAAGGGATGGAGCAAGAGGTTACAGACTAAATAATGTAGGGGACAGAAAAGAGAAAGAGACTGAGGAATCAGACGGAATGGGTGGTTTCTTTCTTTTCTCTCCCTTCCTGTCTCTTCCCTACCATAGTAGAGAGCAAATGTCACTCTAACTAATATTCAACACTGTCTTCAGTTTTCTTGATGTTTTCCTCTTACTTAAACCACCCACAGTCTTTGCTTACTCCCTCAGGGGGCTGCGTTGGAGTGAAGACCCTTACTCAGTCTCATCATTAACTATATTAACAGCACCAGATCCAAGGAAAGGTGGACGCCTTGATAGCCAGAGGTTACAAACCTGTCCCAATGGCTGGGAGGCAAATGGACGAGTAATTCCGTTTTTCACACTCTTGCAAAACATAGGAGATTGATCTCTTGACATCGTTTCCACCAATAACGTGAACAATATTTTTGCACCTCAATAATCCACCTTCGGTAATTATATAATCACTGTTGCCCTTTTGAACTGGGAAGCATAAAACAGAGAGGTGCAAAATTAGATACTGAACCTACCTTTTTTGTCTCTTTTTTTCATTTCATTTTATTTTATTTTTTTAATTTACATCCAAGTTAGTTAGCATATAGTACAACAATGATTTCAGGACTAGATTCCTTAATGCCCCTGACCCATTTAGCACATCCCCCCTCCCACAACCTCTCCAGTAACCCTCTGTTTGTTCTCCATATTTAAGAGTCTCTTATGTTTTGTCCCCCTCCCTGTTTTTATATTGTTTTTGCTTCCTTTCCCTTGTGTTCATCTTTTCTATGTCTTAAAGTCCTTGTATGAGTGAAGACGTATGATATTTGTCTTTCTCTGACTAATTTCGCTTAGCATAATACCCTCTGGTTCCATCCACGTAGTTGCAAATGGCAAGATTTCATTCTTTTTGATTGCCAAGTAATACTCCATTGTATATATATGTACCACATCTTCTTTATTGAACCTACTCTTTGATTGTTTAGGAAGCAAAATGTTTGGTTTGGCACATAAAGCATTCTATGTGAATAAGAGACTCCTAAAATATGGTCTTTGATGAATCTTTTTTCTCTTTTTAACTGTGAGATTGCTTTTCACTTCTAATTGTCTATGCTTAGAAGTCTTTGGTCAAATGTATGATTTTAAGATTAATACGTTTTCTCCCCAATCCCAAGACTTTCCCCAGCCTCTCCAAAGCCTTCCATATTCAGCCTCCCACTTACAATTTTGAAGCAAAAAATAGTATTGTGCCTTACCTTGGCGAGAACATTCCATTTCCACATTTTGTCCAGCACATTCTAAAATTGCTTTGGACACCCCTACAGGAGAAAAAGCAAAGTTACAAACATGAATTTTAAAAAATGAAAATAATACATCTGAATCAGAATGATTGCCTCATTAACTAAAAGCTTTCCCGATCATCAAAGGAATCCTATCACCTGGTATTTCTGATAAGAAAGAAGAAAAATTTATAAACTGTTACCAATTAGTAGAAACCATGTCAAAATAATTTTAAAGTTATTAATTAACGTTAATAAGCCAAAGTTGTAGAAGCCAGTTTGTAGCAATTGTAGAATAGTTGACTATTACCCTACTCAAAATCTGACAAGTCAAGTACCTGCTTTGAGATTAAATGTCTTTGATGTTGAATTTACGATCATATCTGCCTCTTCTTTGGTGATATCTCCAAAGGCCACTTGGAAGATGATGGGACCAATCATCATTTCATGCATTCCTACATCTGGGCTAAACCCAGTCCCATAGAAGACTGAGAAGAAAAATGGAGTCCATCACCAAGTTGACAACAGCAAGAACAACTTATATCACACACTCCTCACACGTGCTCCTCTCATACTTCTTCCCCCGCTCTGTGACTTCCGGCCCTTAACCAGCCCTGACTCTAAGCCCCAGTGATGGTCCATTTCTGAAAAAGCATTATAACATATAATACATATTGGGGCGCCTGAGTGGTTCAGTCAGTTAAGCATCTGGCTCTTGATTTTGGCTCAGGTCATGATCTCATGGTTGGTGAGTTCAAGGCCCGCATCGCACTCTGCTCTGTGCACAGCCTGCTTGGGATTCTCTCTCTCTCCCTCACTCTCTGCCCCTCTTCTGCTCGCACTGTCTCTGTCAAAACAAAGAAATAAACTTTAAATATATATACATATAATAAATATATAAAATATATTATTTATATATAAATATATATAAATAATATATATTATATAAATATATATAACATAATACGTATCAAACATGACTTCTGCTGCTGGCCAGGGTGAAGTCAGGCCCCCTAGCATCTATTTCACTCATGATTTACAATTGAAAATGCAGGATAAATACAAAAAAGCCACTAACTGAGAACTGAAAAGTAAACAGTAGGCAGACTGGGGGAAGAAGTCAGTACTTGAAGAAGCCACCTGAGGGGGAGTTTCTCATTTTATTTTGTTTTGAAATATTTCCTCTTTTCTCTCCCAGCACTGGCCCAAGGTGGCCCAGTTGCAGAACTACGCTATGAGAATTTCTGTCTTTGTGGCCAGAGGATTAGGAGAAAGGGTCCCTATGAGCTAAAGAGTATGAGAAGTAATCATCATGGTTGTCCATAGTTTTTCTTTTTTAATTCAGGCCCTGACTCAAGGTGGGCCCAGTCACAGAACTCCACAGTGGTACCACAGGGAGCATTCTGTATTTCTGTCCAGAAGAATCCGGAGAAAGGGCCCTTATGGTCTGAAAAGTGTGTATGTATGGGCAATACCTGAGGCGCTCTCTCTCTCTCTCTCTCTCTCTCTCTCTCTCTCTCTCTCCCCTTCTCTCTCTCCCTCTCTCTCTCTCTCCACTTTGCCTACAAGGGAAATATTACCATGCAAAATTATGAGGCAACCCAACAGGCAGCTTACACTCCCAGAGACACTGTCTTTCTGGCCAAAGGATCTAGAAAAGGGGCTCCCTTGAGCCAGAGAGTGCAGGAGTCCCAGACACGTGAGAGCTGGAGAAGGAAGCCCCTATTTTGTGTGTGAAGTGTGATAAATCCTGAACTCACACAGAGCTGCAAGTGTGGGAGCAAACCCAAGCAGCATAACAAAGGCTTTGAGAACTAAATTAACATTGGAACTGCTACCCACACAGAAGGTGAGACAGAACCTTAGAGTGAACTGAATGGACTGTCTGCTAGAACAAACAAAATGATCACCATTTTCCAGAGGGTTTTTTTTGTTTTTGTTTTGTTTTGCTTTTTGAGAGACAGAGAGAGACAGAACATGAGCAGAGGAGGGGCAGAGAGAGAGAGAGAGACACGTAGAATCTGAAGTAGGCTCCAGGCTCTGAGCTGTCAGCACAGAGCCTGATGCAGGGCTTCAACCCACAAGCTGTTGAGATCATGACCTGAGCCAAAGTAGGATGCTTAACCAACTGAGCTAACCAGGTGCCCCAGAGGATTTTAACAGGACCCAAGTTTCACAGCATAACACTTAAAATGCCCAGTCTATAATCCAAAATTGCTTGTCATCCAAAGAACCAAGCAAATGTGATGAGTTCTCAAGGATAAAGACAATCAATTTCGGATGCTAATCTCAAGATGATCCAGATGTTGGAATTATCAGACCAAGACTTTAAAGCATCTGCTATAACTATGCTCCCTGAGGTCAAAGTAAACATAGTTGAATTCATGGAAATGATTTGGCATGAATGGAAAAAATAGGGGCCCTGCAGAGAAATATAAACTATTTTTAAAAAGAACCAAATGGACATTTTAGAGCTTAAAAATACAGTATCTGAAGTAAAAAAAATTCACTGGATGGCTAGTGGACAGAGCAAAGAGTCCATGAACTTGGAAGTGGATCAAAAGAAATTATCCAATGTGAAGAACAGAGAGAGAAAAGAGATTTAAAAAAAAGAAAAAAAGAGATCCTGGGGCCCTGTGGAATGCTATCAAAACACTTCACATTCTTGTTATCGGGGCACTGGAGAGAGATCAGTGTGGTAAAATAATTGAAGAAGAGACTGAAAAATTCCCAAATTTGATGGGAAACATACACATTCAGAATCAAGAAGCCTCAGCAAACTCCAAACAGGATAAACTCGAATATAGCAACAGCAAATTTGACAGAGGAGAAGCATTTGGTTGGTACTGTCTCTTTAAATCTATCTGTTTGAAGGCACATGAAAAGATGTTCAGCGTTGCTCCTTATCAGGGAAATACAAATCAAAACCACACTCAGGTATCACCTCATGCCAGTCAGAGTGGCCAAAATGAACAAATCAGGAGACTATAGATGCTGGAGAGGATGTGGAGAAACGGGAACCCTCTTGCACTGTTGGTGGGAATGCAAATTGGTGCAGCCGCTCTGGAAAGCAGTATGGAGGTTCCTCAGAAAATTAAAAATAGACCTACCCTATGACCCAGCAATAGCACTGCTAGGAATTTATCCAAGGGACACAGGAGTACTGATGCATAGGGGCACTCGTACCCCAATGTTCATAGCAGCACTCTCAACAATAGCCAAATTATGGAAAGAGCCGAAATGTCCATCAACTGATGAATGGATAAAGAAATTGTGGTTTATATACACAATGGAATACTACGTGGCAATGAGAAAAAATGAAATATGGCCTTTTGTAGCAACGTGGATGGAACTGGAGAGTGTGATGCTAAGTGAAATAAGCCATACAGAGAAAGACAGATACCATATGGTTTCACTCTTATGTGGATCCTGAGAAACTTAACAGGAACCCATGGGGGAGGGGAAGGAAAAAAAAAAAAAAAGAGGTTAGAGTGGGAGAGAGCCAAAGCATAAGAGACTGTTGAGAACTGAGAACAAATAAAAATAAATAAATAAATAAAAATATAAAATAAATTTATAATAAATTAAAAATAAATAAATTATATAAAATATAATTTTATATATATATAATATATAAATATATAAATAAATAATTTATAAAAAATAAATAAAAATAAATAAATAAATAAATAAAATAAATAAAATATATTTTATTTTATAAATAAATAAATAAATAAATAAATAAAATAAAAAAATAAATAAAATAAATTAAAAATATATATATATAAAAATAATAAATTAAAAATAAATTTGTATATATAAATACAAATAAAAAATAAATAAATAAAATAAAAAAATAAAAATAAAAATAAAAATGCTATGAAAAAGTAAAAAAAAAATAAAATAAAATAAATATCTGTTTGAGAAAACATGCCACATCATCCTTAGAAAATAGTAGCCTTATTACTACTTAAAAATCCATTGTACAGGTTATATAATTTAGCCTACCTACTCTTTCACTTTAGGTCACATAAACACAGCCAGTGTCTTACATGCTCAGGTGTATGGGATATAATTTAATATCTTCTTTATCAGTAATTGATTCTTTCATAAAACATCACTACCATCTTTCACTGAATAGTTACTTAGCAACTAGAAATAATTTCTCATTTAAAAGCTTTACTGAACCTTGTTTATCTTCAGCCTTGGGAATTTTGTCACTGACGAAATTTCCATTAGTCCTTCTGGCGAATTCATCTGAAAATGCCTGGAAATACAAAGACAGTTTTGACCACTACAATCCTCAGTAGATGAATAAATTTGATTCATCAGGGCTTTTGATCTTGCATGCACACATACTCAGGAGAGAACAACTCTCAAAGTGTTATTTTCATAATAGATTTTTAAAACTATGAAAATAATACATATAACTCTGTTTCTACAAATGCATTCTAGGAAAACTATTAAATATGTGAACAAAGATATAAATATAAGCATATTCATTATATGCTATTTATAACAGAGAAAATATAAAACAGTTTACAATCCAACAGGGAAATGGTTAAATAAATTTTAGTATATCCATGTGTTGGAATATTTAGTAGCCATTTCAAATCTCATTTTCAGGGGTGTCTAGGTGGCTCAGTCGGTTAAGCGTCCGACTATTGATTTCAGCTCAGGTCATGATCTCACAGTTCAGTTCATGAGTTTGAGCCCTACATTGGGCTCTGTGCTGACAGTACAGGGCCTGCTTGGGATTCTCTTTCTCCTCTCTCCCTCTGCCCCTCCCCTACTTGCACTCACTCACTCTCTCTCTCTCTCTCTATAATTAAAAAAAAAAAGTACACATGTATAAAACAAGGCCAGGATGAAATTCAACTAAAAGAATGAATACATTTTGTATGGTTCAAATTTTCTACAATGAATATGTGTTGTTTTCATAATCAGTGAGAGCAGGTATCTTGCCAGTTGTTAAAAAAAAAAAACCCGCAGTATTATGAGAAAGATAGTCACATGGACAGAAACACTTTTATTTTTTAACTTCTTATTTGTACCAGGAGAGGAACCATTAGGGGAGTAGTCCTCTCTGGGATAAGAGGCTGGTGTATGTATTCTAGAGTTAGTGAGCCTGTGAATTCCATTTCTTTTCCTGTTAGTGACACCATCAAATCATCACTTTATTTCTCCTTTTAATAAACAAGCAGGAGAGATTTTTTTTTGGGGGGGGGGTAAATGAGTAACTTTTTTGCTAAAAGGCTGATACAGTAGCTGGAGGGGGCCAGGGAAGACTATAGAGCCAGGGTCTCAGGCTCATGGGCCTCTAGGGAAGCTCCATGTGTAAAGGTGAACAGCCGGTTGAAAGACTTTCTACAACCGAAGGGGGTTCTGGTATTTCTAGTCCCAACTCTCCTACTCACATGGGGATGTGCTGAGTTCATTCTAACCCCACCTTTTAGTTGTATCTCATCCTGACATTCTCCTCATGTTATTTACAGGACTACAACTGTTTTTTCTCCTATTTAGAGGACTACAACTTTTATATTATGTACTAAGATTTCCATGTTCATATGGAAGGGAATCCTATAGACTAAAAGAGGATTAAGGGATGTCAGCTCCACTGCAATATATGGGCCTTAGTTGGATTCTGATTAAAACAAACAAGCTATAAAAACAAAATAAGGCCTTTATGAGACAATTGGAAATCTGAACATCGATTTGATAATTGCTAAAATAATGAAATGATTTTCAATTTATTTTATGTGTGAAATAGCACTGTGGCCATGTTACCTTTCAAAAAGAATCCTATTGTTTAAAATAAAATAAACACTGAATTGTTTATGGATAAAGTTATGTCTAGGATTTGCTCGAGAGACAAATACCATATGATTTCACTCATATGTGGAATTTAGGGGGAAAAAAAAGATGAACACATGGGAAGAGGGGGCGGGAAGAGAGGGAAACAAACCACAAGAGACTCTTAAGGATAGTCAACAAAAGGACGGTTGAGGGAGGGAGGTGGGGGGGGGGAAGGGCTAGATGGGTGATGGGTATACTAAGGAGGGCATTTGTTGTGATGAGCACTGGGTGCTGTATGTAAGTGATGAACCACTAAATTCAATTCCTGAAACCAATATTTCACTTTATGGTAACTAAAATTTAAATTAAAAAGATAAATAAATAAAAAGAAAAAATAACATAGGAAGAGGGGAAATAAATAGAGATAGAAATGAAACATATTGGCCAGAGGTTGATAATTGTAATTGATGAGTGATGGGTACAGGGAATTCATTATACTATTCTGTCTACTTTCATTAATGCTTAAAAATTTCCTTAATAAGAAGTTAAATTTTTTTCCATATCCATAAATTTGCTTGAAATTTGCTGTGCTACAACTAGTCTACACTATTCCTTTACTTTCCCATGTATGGGAAATACATGGAAAAAACAACCTAATAGACCAAGAAGACATTTGAGAACATGAGGGCTCAGCTGCCAAAACAACCAGAAGTTAGTGAGATTGTACCTGAATATTTCCATGATCACTCGGGTGCAGCAGAAAGTAAACCTCTTGTAAAGTTGTCAGTTGAGTCTTGCTACTAAATTTCAACACTTCTGAAATGATTAATTCAGCAAAAATGGTTTTAGGAAATCCCAAATTTCCTGTTCCTATGGCTGGAAATGCAATCGATTTCAAGGATAAGCTCTCAGTGATTTCCAAACATTTTCTGATTATGTCTCCCATGATCTGAAAGGCACAAAGCACAACTTTATGCATCTTTCCTAGAATTGGGAGTCAGAACAAAAAGGACAAAAATTTAGCAACTTTGACCGTGATCTCTGTCTACTCCTCCGCTTTCAACAGAGGTGAAGGGCAGTCAAAAAAAGGAAAGAAGAGTATAGGAGTTGATGAGGAAAAGAAAAAGAGAATGTCAGAGGCCCTCCAAAAAGATCCAAACTTACTCAGCAATGAAGATAAGAAGCAGGGCAAAAACTGTTCTAATCCTTCATCCTCTTCCATTCTCCATGCCCTCGCCTTGCTATCCCCACTGAGGACGCGCCATTTTCCATACCTCTTAATGAGCCCCAATAATGACTGGGCACTATAATCAATTTATATTATCAACCAGTCTTCAGAAGTCAGCTAGGGCTAAAACAAAACAAAACAAAACAAAACAAAACAAAACAAAACAAACAGCCCTAATGATAGAACCTGCTGAGAATGTGACAGAGAGGCAAGCTACATTACCCTGAGAGGAGGGTCCAGAGGGCTACCCAATTTCCTAGAGAACCTAACTCCTGGCCCACCTTGTATGAAGATGTGCTGTCATCTCTCCAGTTCGGAGCCACCACGTGAAGCACACGGCGGCAGTGCAGACTGTGTCCACTGGTTTGGAGAACTGTGCCCATGCCAACAATTGCCATTTGTCCGACAACGTTCAATTCCTCCTGGAGCTTTGGCCCAGCTTTTGCCAGGAGGGCCTGAGAAAGGGGCCCTCTATTAAGCTCAAGATCCATGGGAATGGAGTTGACAAGAACATCAGCCTTAAAGAGAAAGCCAACAATTTGTCTCAGATGCTAACAAAAAGCATTCATCAAGGAGGACTATGTTTGAGCCACGTGCTTGGCACCATGAGGGGGAAACTAAGATGGTTGATTTCAGAGGTTGAAATGCCATCCAAGGCAAAGGGTTACTAGAAGCTTATTTAATTAACACTCTAGGACAACAGAGAGCTGTCAAAAAGCAGTATATAAATAGTATGGGGTCACTGAAGCAGCACAGAGGAAGTGACTTCTGGGGTCTAGAGAATGGGAATCCCTGCAGCAGGCAGAGGAAGACAGGACAGTCATCTGGGAGGGGGCCAGCGTGAACATAAGCCCGGTACGTTTGAGCTGTGAGCAGATTGGTTGGACCTGATAGAGACTTTCTAAATCAGGCTAGATTAAGGCACCAAGAGAAGACAGGAGAGGGAATGTGACCAAGCGATGTTCACAGCTGCCCCGCATGGGTCACTGAGGAGTAACGTGGCTCACCCTGGTTCAGCGCCATTGTCAAGATTCCTGTCCTCTGCCCGCATCAAATATTCTAATTTTTCTGTATCTGCTCTCTGTAAATTTGACAGGAAATTAACCTTAGATTTGCCAAAATATGACAGGTATAAAGGCACTGAAAAAGTATAAATGTGTAAGTGGTGAGGATAAGTGTAAATGTAAGATCTTCCTGTGGGTTTTCACATTTACCGGAGACCTAGCGATCTGAATACACTTGCAGTCCCCACGGTTAACTGGCCAACCGCTGTTAGTAAATGCCTCAATGAAGCAGCCCAGTTTTCTGAGGAAACCGGTTTTGAGGCCGGGAGGGCAAGCATGGGATTCTTTCCCTGGATCCTAATCTTCCTTTGGCAACAGGCTAACTGGAGTCACAGCACCTTGGTGGGTGTTCTGTAGGTAGGGACACTCACCGTAGCACTCTGCACATCCCCTTTCACCAACAGGAGCCTCAGATTTCCCTGGGACAATGACATTTGTCCGTTTCCATGAACTGTTATCAAGCTGGGCTGGACTGCTGCGGGTAAACTGGGCAGCGAAGCGGCAACAGACAGGGAGTCTTCAAATACAGTTTTCACTGTCTCTGCAAAGGCCTCCACAGCCTTCTCTGCTGTATCCACAAGGTAAATCTCTTTCAAGGTATTTCCATCCTGGTTAAGCTGGAAGTTTTTCTTGATAGCCAAAACAATAGTCTTCACACACCGGGCTAAGGGAAAGCCAAAGACTCCAGAGCTGATAGCAGGGATGGCTATGGATCGGTACTTGTATTTTGCAGCCAAATGGAGACTTTCTTCTATAGCTTTCTTTAACTGGAGCACACACTTCAGGGCCTCATCTCCCTTCCACTTGGGCCCCACGGCATGAATCACGTGCCGGTATGGGAGCTTTCCTGCTTTGGAGATGACGGCACGGCCAGGGGGGATCTTGCCCATCTTCTTCGCTATCTGGTCACAGTCTGCTTGGAGCTCAGGGCCAGCCGCTTTAGAAAGAGCAGCCGCTAGGCCGCCAGAGAGCTTCAGGTCCTCATTTGCAGTGCTCACCACCACTTCCACAGGAAACTGTGTCAAGTCGCCCCGTTGCACAATCAGAGAGACTCCAGGGGCCAGCTCTGCCCGAGAAGAGCACTTCTGTCCGTCAGTGCCACCTCCCTCTTTCTTCCCTCCATTCTCCTGTAGTTCAATGAAACATCCAAATAACCGTTTGACTTCACTTTTATAATACTGTGCTTTCTCCTGGAAGAACTGGCTGACTCCTGGCTTATCAATATGGATGCTTTCAACACAGATGGATTCCCAGGCTTGCTTGATGATGTGCATGCCGTCCAGGACTTTAGCCTTTGGGCCAATTAGTAAAATGCCTTTTTTTTTATTCTCAGCATTGAAAATTACCTGAACATTTGTCTTCTTTATCTTTTGCCAGAATGGCTTTTTTTCTATCTTCAAATAATCAATGATTATGGAAGGCTCTATTTCAACCAATCTCTCTATTTTCGTGTGTTCTTCCACAAAGTCAAAAAGCAAGCTATGGGTTTCATTCACTTCTCTCACACAGCCTGCAATGATAACCTCAGCTTTGGTTCCTGAAGTTAACTCATCAATTATTACAGTCTTTGACGAGGAATTATGTTTCTTACACAATCTGCGAGTGAGCCCTTTCCATTTCTTGCCATTAAGAATGTCCTTGTCCTCAATGTCTATGCGCTTAGAACTTAAGGCACTGACCATTTGCTTTTCAGCATCTAATAGGACTTCAGAGAAATAGCTGGTTAGAAGAACAGCTGTACCCTCTAGCTCATAAACAGCAAGAATTTTCTGTGCTATAAAAAGAGACTTAGAGAATTCTGCACAGTCTACTTTTTGCAAAAATTGGAAAATCTCGGGGGGAAGCTGGATGTTTTTTTGAGCCATGGTGTACATCTTTTTCTGTATTTCACACTTTGCTTTATACACATCTGTGCGGAGTCCTTTGAAGCTCATGTGTTGAGAAGCTTCATCATAAGACATCTCCATCTCTGGGCACTCAGTGTGGAGACGCTCCAGGATGCCACTGTGACACAAAAGAGAATACCTTCCTGGAGCAATGTCCACTTTTTCCTTTACACTTTGCTCTTCTTTTTTAATTTTTTGAGTTGTACTTTCTATTAATTCCTTGATTTGTGGCTCAATGTTCTGTACATCCTCTGATTTCCCCACTAAGGTTACAACCCCCATAAGTGTATCAAATTCAGTCAAAATCCTGTCATCTTCTAAACTATTTTTTATGGTGTCCCACACTATGGGATCCACTTTCAATGGGGTGACTTTATATTTAGACCTGATGCTAGAGAATGCTGTGGAAACATCTTTCCGCCAAGTCCTGATCCTTAGTCTACCTAGACTGAATAATGTGGTTGCAGGTCTGATGGTAACTTCACCACTGAGTTCGGACCACATTAGTTCAGAGTGACAATGCCTCACTTCATCATTTATCTCATCCATCAGATGGTGCTTTTTCTTCAAGAATCTCCATAAGGGAAGATCTAACGATTCTCTGAATGGTGCTGGAAGCTTAATCAGAGGTTTCTCCTTTCCGTACAAGGCCGTGCCCAAAGAGGCATAGTATGGAAACACAGAGAGCGGCATATTACTGAGGTCAAGTTTCTTGGTCGTGATGGTGTGTAACACTTAAAAGGAAAGAAACAAATAAAGTAATCCCAGAGTAATGTATTTCAAGTGAAAAAAAAATTTTTTTTCTATTAGAGAAAAAAAAGCCTAGTGTTTGTAGAACTTTGATGTTATAACATGCTATTAAAAAGCATGTTATTATGCTCAAATATAAATAGATTTGTATTAATACTGCATAGGTATCCCTTGTTTAATGGCATACTTTCCAACCAAGATCACCCTATGGTGAAATTCTGCTAAGCAAATTCTATCTTCTTTTTATTTTATTTTATTTTTAAGTAATCTCTACACCCATCGTAGGTCTCAAACTTACAGCCCTGAGATCAAGAGTCGCGTGCCCCACTGAGTGAGCCAGCCAGGCACCCCTCTATTTTCTGTTTTCTGGTAACACTGATATATCACCACCAGATTAACAAATAGATAAGAATTTGTTCACAAGTATGGGGGCAATGTTTGGTCCCAGTGTAAAGAATGTTCTGGTGCTGAAAGCAAAACTCATGTAAGAATCATGCTATTTGCTGCTTCTTATACAGTCTCACAATTTTAGGCTTCATAGATGATTTAGATTCCGTTAATACCTCTAAGAGGGGGAGCATAATAATAATTACCATAGCTTACCATGTGTCAGACACCATTTTAAGTGCTTTACATATATGTATTTATTTAATCCTCACAATAACCCTTTGAGATAGAGACACTATTATTATCATCCCTATTTACAAATGATAAAACTGAGGCTAGGAAAGGTTAGAGAACTCAAATAGGGTCATCTAATATTAGTATTATCTGAGCTAAGATTTGAGCCAGTGTCTAACTCTCAAGCCAATGCTCCTGCTCCTTTACCAGGGGTTCCAAAGAGGATCACCTCCTAGTCATTAGAAAGCCCAACCCCAAGGATTCTGATTCAGTATGTTCTGAACCTCCCCTTGTCCCTGCTATGACCCCCTCTCCTGCCACTTCTACTGGGACAGTTCCTAGGGTGGGATGTGTGTGTGTGTGTGTGTGTGTGTGTGTGTGTGTGTGTGTGTGTATGGGCGGGTACTCTTCTTCCCAAAGCCCCTCTTCATTTTGTGTTAGTTATTAGATGGGCACAAGAGGTCTAAGAAGGAAGGGAATTAGAATGAACTCCAGTAACAAGTTGAATTAAAATAGCATCCTTGTAGAAAAGTGTTAAAAATAATTTCCCCTTGTGCATGATTGTCTCTTAGGCCTGGAGCCAGACATCATGAAAAGGATGTGGCCTTCAGAGGTCATTACACATAATATGAACTTCCCAACATGGCTTTGTGCAGGATCCAAGCCTGGGCAGGATCACTAACGTGATCAAAAAGACAAGAAATAACAAGCATTGGCAAGGATGTGGAGAAAAAGGAACCTTCATGTACTGTTGGTAGGAATGTAAATTGGTGAAGCCAATGTGGAAAACAGTATTGAGATTCCTCAAAACATAAAACATAGAAAGACCAGACAGTCCAGTAATTCTACTACTGGGTATTTACTGAAACCAAACAAAAAAAAAAAACACCCCTACTAATTAAAAAGATACATGTACCACTATGTTTATGGCAGCATTATTTACAATAGCCAAGATATGGAAACAACCTAAGTGGCCACTGACAGATGAATGGATTAAGAAGATGTGATTATACACACACACACACACACACACACACACACACACACACACACACACGATGGAATATTAATTAGCCGTAAAAAACAATGAGCTCTTGCCATTTGTGACAACACGGACGGACCTAGAGGGTATTGTGCTAAGTGAAATAAGTCAGAGAAAGACAAATACCATACGATTTCACTTTTATGTAGAATCTAAAAAACAAAACAAATGGGAGCACCTAGGTGGCTCATGTCATGATCACCTAGGTGGCTCATGTGAATTGGAGCCCCACATCAGGCTCTCTTCTGTCCCCCTCTCTCTGCCCCTCCCTTGCTTGTACTCTCCCAAAAATAAATAAATACTTGAAAAACAAAACAAATGAACAAACAAGCAGACCCATAAATACAGAGAACAAAAAGCTGATGATTGCCAAGGGGAAGTGGGTTGGAGGATGGGCAAAATGGATAAAGGGGAGTGGGAGATACATTCCAGCTATGGAATCAGTAAGTCACAGGGATGAAAGGTATAGCCTAGGGAATGCAGTCAGTGATATTGCGATAGCCCTGTGTGGTGACAGTAGCTACACCATACAGTGAGCAGAGGATAAGGTATAGAGTTGTCGAATCCCTATGTTGAACATCTAAACCTAATGTAACATTGTGTGTCAACTATATTTCAATAAAAAATATATTTAAAGTAATAAAGTAATTGCCCAAGATCACAAAGCTAATAAGCATCAAAGCCAGGATCTGTCTGACCCAAAAATCATCACGGATAACTCCTTATTGTGGCTTAAATTCTCCACCCTGTTTCCTTCTCTGTACAAGAAAAAGTAACTATATGTAAGTTATTACTAGGATTCAGTGAAATACTGTGATAGAAAATACAGCAAAAGATCTCACCTATAACAGGTATTCAATAAGAGTTCCTTCTCTTAAGGGGCACCTGGATGTCTTGGTTGGTTAGGCATCCAACTCTTGGTTTTGACTCAGGCCATGATCTCATGGTTCATGAGTTGGGCTTTGTGCTGGCAATGCAGAGCCTGCTTGGAATTCTTGGTCTCTGCCCCTCCCTGCTCACTCTCTCTCTCAAAACAAATAAATAAACATTTTTTTTAAAGTCTGGAACAGTTCCCCTCTCCTTAAAAAAAAAAAAAAGAGTTCCTTTCCTTAAGATTTTGTGAATCAGGCTTTGTAAAATTGAACAAAATAATTTTAGAGTAAGTGCCTTACTTATTCCTCTTAAATAATCTGCATAAAATGTAGACTGCTAAGTAAATTATCCTTTTAATCCAGCTTTAGCTACAGTTTGCCTCATTACTAATAACCTGTTGTAAGTGGTGAGATGGCCCATAAGAAAAATTAATGGTATAGGTGAGCGGGAGATTAGGAAAGAGTGGAGAATTTAAGAGCATAGATTAGGGTCCAGTCTAGCCATGTTCAAACCCTGGCTCTATCACGTACTAGCTGTGTAACCTTGGTCAAGTTATTTGACGTTTCTCTGCTGCAGTTCCTCATTTGTAAAATAGGAATCACAGTAATAGCAATGCCCATAAAGCAGTGCCTGTGAATGTATTCTGTAGCACCTTGCAGAGTTATGCAAATGTAAGTCATCATCACGAGAAGGAGAAGCCAGAGAAAGAAAGGGAAGATCAGTATATCTCAGACCACAGAGAACACAGAGTTTGTGGGTTTAGAGGAAAAGGCATGGTCAACACAGTCAGACAGCATCAAGAGGTCAGGGTGAAGGGGAACCTCTAAGAGTACCCTGCTGTTCACAGATGCAGCTCTGCATAAAGTAACCCAGATTAAGCAGTTCCTGTTATTAGCCGTACAGAATGTAATGTAGACATTCTGAGGACACAGTCAACTGCCCAAGCCTTCAAGAGGTTGGAAGCCCCACCATAAACTGGGAAGTTAACTTCTAGAGTAGACAGCTGTTAATCTCAAGCCCAGGCTCAGGGAGATTTAAAGAAATTGTGACAGAAGCTCCTCTTTTGTCCCCTTGTCCAAGGAATACTAGGACTTTCATTCCATTTTAATCTAAACCATACCTTCACCCGTTTCCCTAACTCATCAAAGCCCAAGGGAGCTTCCTTCCCCTATGCTCATGAAGCAGTTTATCTTCAGTGGGTGGAATACCACGTGATCCTGTCTCATGCTCCCCCTGGTAATCCCAAACTCACTGTTCCTTCTTTCCCTAAAATGTCTGACCCCCTAATTCCTACTCCTCAGCCTTCACCTCTGAACATCAAGTGGAATCTCTGCTCTGACTTTGCACATGCCTCGGAAAACTGGCAATCTAACATCCACAAAACCCTCCCAAGTGTTTCCCTGAGATTCAGCTGGACATGGTTTTCACAGGGTTGCTGCAAAGAACTATCCAGCAGGCATCCAATGGATGCCACTAACCACCCCTATTAATTTCTGAATGATGATACTGACAGGTGAAAGGGAAGTAGTGATACTTTATAGGAACTGTATGTGTTTCTGAGCATTTCTTTACCTAATCTTGTAGAAATTAACTTGAAAATTTCTACCAAGTATACAGCTAATACACAGATCACCTCTTCTTTAATACAGTATTTCAAAGATTCTAAGAATTATGTATTTTCCATTATAGGTAGAGACTCATGAGAGAATCTCCTTATGTCTTCAGCATTGCTTCTCTAATGTTTAAATCACTGGGCCCATTAACTGTGATATCCCAGATGAATGGGATTACTAATTGGATTTCCAATGAAATTTATGAATAAAAAATAACATGCATCAGAACTCAACTGATAACTATTAAGATCCGCTAAAATGGTTTAGATTATGTCAGGTAGGTTTATAATGTCAAGCTCATAGATATTACCTTTTTTGTCAAAAAACTCAATCAGAGCTGAACTCTCTTCAGGCAAACATTGAATCCTGGCAATTCTTCCTCCTCCATTTAGAGGATTTTCAAATAAACATTTCAAATTATAGTCATCAGCCCCAGGTGGCAGGTTTTCAACCCTGATTGTTTTCGTCACTTCCAGAAGTCGTGGAGAAAGTTGAAGTTGTTTCACTGAATGGTGCCTGGCACAATCATCAACAAATTTCACAGCATCTACAAATCAAAATTAATCAATCGATCAATCAGAAAATTATGATTATATCTTTATATTATACAGAAGAAACTGTCTGAATACTAGTTGAGATAAAGGAGATAGGTAAACACTCAATTTTTAGACGCAATATTTTATTTTTATATGAGGATTTACATGCTTAAAACTCCTGATCTCTGAACAGCGATACACATATGAATGTTTTACCTGGATTACTGCCACTGAGCTGTGTCCCTGCTTCCAGTTACAGCCCTCCCCCACCCCACTTGACATCCTACCCCTACAATACAAATCTGTCTACAATACAAATCGTCTCATTTCACTTCTTTCTCAAGTCCTACAATGGCTCCCCATTACCTGTAGAGAGCAAGCGTCAGTTCACACTCCTCAGCTAGGCTAAAAATGCCCTTGTTTGGCTATTTGAATCTAAACTAATTTCCAAACATCACCTCTGGTTATTCTCTGCCATTCGTTTTATTTTCCATACTGCCAAAAAACCTAGTCATTATTTTGACAACCCCATTCCCTTTTGCCTCCATATATACAATTTCCTATGCCTGAAATGCCCTTCTCTGATTTAAAAAAAAAAAATATCCTTGTCCTATTCCTCCTTCAGGACTCAGCCTGATTATCTCTTTGAAATTCATAGATATTGATGGTGGACCCACAATGTGACAGGTACTCTGCTAGGATCTGGGGATAAAGAAATGAGTGTAACAAGTCCTTGAAAGTTCACCACCTAGGAGGGAAGGAATCTTGAAAGCAAACAAAGGACCTATTGTAGGATCAGATGAGGCAGGAAGACAAATACAGGGAATCCCACAAGGATCCCCAGAGAAAGTGGATGCTGATCTGAATTCTGAAAGATAAAGAAGAGATTAGCAGACAGATAAGGGGAGGAAACATTTCAGGCAGAGAGAAGAGCAGTGGCAGGAAACAACAGTGTACCAGGGACCCGGCAGACTGGGATCACTGGAGTATAAACTTCATAGGCAAGCAAGGCAAAACCAAGCCACCTTGTTTGGGTTCCTCTTCCTCCCATTCCCCACAGCCTGCTGCTCATGGCTTCACCTCTTGCATCTGCCATTTTTCATTTACATATGGGTCTCCAACTCCATATGAGGTCCTCAAGAGCAGGAACCAAGAATTATTCATCTCTGTACCCATAGCACCTAGCCTGGCACATAGTAGATATTTAAGAGTTTTGATTAATGAACAAAAGCAGGGCCATTTAGTTTTACCTTTATAAGAAATAATTATAAATTTGATATAAGAATAGCTCTTTCTTGAATCCTTATCATGTCTTAGATACTATATTAAGAGCTTTGCAAACATTATCTCATTTAATCCTCTTAGAAATCATATCAGGTAGCTACTACTTTCTCCATTTTACAGATAAGAAAAGTAAAGCACAGAGGGTAGTAACTCAGACAACCTCAGATAAGTGGTCAAATGTTGGAGCTAGAGTTCTGACTTCGTGACCTGTGCTCTTATTTAACCATTCTACTACCATGGCCACGGAATAGCGAAGGCTTGGAATTGGGAAATTTTCTTGTCCTTCTGAAGACGACTCCTCCCACAGACCTTGAAAAGCATTCATTTCCTGCATCCCATGCACTTACCCTCCCACCTACGTGATGACCATGAAAGTACTAAGGAAATATATTGTAAAGGAGATAAGTGAACAGGGCTGCCTGGGTTCAAATCCAAGAATTTATTAGCATCCTGGCACCTCTGTCTCCTCAACTGTAAAATGAGGAATAATAATAATGATCTCAAAAGGTTGTTGAGGAGCTCAGTTGGTTAGGCATCCGATTCTTGATTTTGGCTCAGGTCATGACCTCCTGGTTTGTGAGCTCGAGCCCCACGTCAGGCTCCACACTGACAGTGTGAAGCCTGCCTGGGATTCTCTCTCTCTTCCTTTCTCTGCCCCTAGACCCCTCTCTCAAAGTAAATAAACTTTAGAAAAAAAAAGGTTGTTGAAAAGAAGAAATAAATACATGTACTGAGCTTACCATAGTACCTGACTTACAGTATCACTATATGACTGCCTGCTATTATTATTACCTTCCAATAAGTCCAGTTTGGTAACACGTATCAATATTTACTTCTCCCAGTAAGATAACACATGTGAAAATGCTGACTCCTCTGCCTGGAATCACTTTAATTTTTTTCTTTTAATGTTTATTTATTTCAAGAGAGAGAGCATGAGTGGGGGAAGGGCAGAGGGAGAGGGAGAAGAAGAGAGAGAATCCCAAGCAAGCTCTGTGCTGTCAGCCCGATGTGGGGCTGGATCTCACAAACCAGGAGATCATGACCTGAGCTGAAATCAAGAGTCGGACGTTTAACTGACTGAGCCACCCAGGTGGAATCACTTGTATTTTTTTATTTTATTTTATTTTTCAACATTTATTTATTTTTGGGACAGAGCATGAACAGGGGAGGGGCAGAGAGAGAGGGAGACACAGAATCAGGAACAGGCTCCAGGCTCCAGGCTCCGAGCCATCAGCCCAGAGCCTGACGCGGGGCTCAAACTCACGGACCGCGAGATCGTGACCTGGCTGAAGTCGGACGCTTAACCGACTGCGCCACCCAGGAGCCCCTGGAATCACTTTTAGTAACCTTAGACTTTAGATTTCTATTTGGGTGTGTTGTCTCTGTCTCTGTCCCTCTCTCTCTCTCTTACACACACACACACACACACACACACACACACACACACACCCCACTCATACACTAAAGTCTGATTTACTGTATATATCAGAATTTAGTTTTAAAACAAAGTTGCTTCTCTTTCAAAATAAAAAAGCATCGATATTAACTTGGAGTCCTCTCCTACTAGCTACTGGAAAGAGTCCAACTTTCAAAGACATTAGCTGGATGTCTCAAATCCCAAAGTGTGGTGCAAAGAAAGATTGGTAAATACAGCATCACTTGATCTTACCTATACATTTTTGAAAGGTAACTACAGCAACATCAAAATCTCGTATTACTTCCACCTGAAAATCATCATTGGACAGGCCACTTATGTTCTCCACTAGCAAGGTTAACATTATACCAGTTACATTTGCCTTGAGATTTTCAAATGCAACCAAAGAGGAAATATTTTCACATTCTTCTGAGGTATCTTCCACTTTTTCTGATCTTCTGTTGAGAGAAAATTTTGTATCCAATTCTTCGGACACATCTGCTTTTAGAAGGACAAAGATACAAGATGTTATATTAATCTACCATGATCTTAGCAAAGTAAATTATCTTTTTTTTTTTTAATTTTTTTTCAACGTTTTTATTTATTTTTGGGACAGGGAGAGACAGAGCATGAACGGGGGAGGGGCAGAGAGAGAGGGAGACACAGAATCAGAAACAGGCTCCAGGCTCTGAGCCATCAGCCCAGAGCCTGACGCGGGGCTCGAACTCACGGACCGCGAGATTGTGACCTGGCTGAAGCCGGACGCTTAACCAACTGCGCCACCCAGGCGCCCCGCAAAGTAAATTATCTTAAGACACTGTCCTCTTTCCTTCTCATTCTCTTGGCTAACTCAAACAGATTTTAGAAAGCTTTTTGCTTAATGTAATTAAAAGTAAAATGGAGCGGGGCACCTGGGTGGCTCGGTTGAGTGTGCAACTTCGGCTCAGGTCATGATCTCACAGTTCATGAGTTTGAATCCCGCATCTGGCTCTGTCCTGACAGCTCGGAGCCTGGAGCCTGCTTCAGATTTGGTGTCTCCCTCTCTGCCCCTCCCCCACTCACGCTCGCGCGCGCGCTCTCTCTCTCTCTGTCTCTCTCTCAAAAATAAGTAAACATTAAAATTTTTTAAATAAATTAAATGGAGTACTTAACAGTCTATTGTTATTATTAAGTTTGATTTTATTATATCCTTTCCTGCCTTGTCTCTCTGAGGAACCTGCCTTTTGTAGTATTTGACACATGCTTCTATCAAGCACCTTATTATAGTTATTGAAGTCAGCTTCTCAAAAGCAAGGGATATATTTATTCATCCTGTATTGCTGGCACATAGTATATTCTTGAGGTTCAATAGCATTTGCTAAATTGGAGATTTACTGCTCGGGCCACTGGAGGAAAGCGAGAATATCTTACGATGCCCATGTAACACGTTATGCTCTGAAAAGTATTAAGTTTTCATCACCGAAGAGAAAAAAAGGATACTTGCTGAGTGACCAAGGAAGACACATAGAAAGTAAAATTGCCTAGAGAGCTGCATGTATATGTCAAGCTCACTGAACAGCAATCACCCCAGCCAGCTTGTTCCTCTCCGCTGTTGGCCCTAAGTGAGTTCCATCTCTGCATCAGGTCAGTCTCACTCAGACCTCACTCACTCACTGCAGCATGATGTGTATAAGATCTTTAGACGTTCTGTGAGTGACTATTCAGTTGGGGCCCTTATTACATTCAAGGCACTAGAGGTGTACAGAGGGATACATACACAAAACATGAGATAAGGAACTTATAGATTTTTCTCATGGAGGCATACAAGAAAAATGACAAAAGGAACCGACATTTGTAAAGGTTTATTATGACAGAGTAAAATGCTCTGTGCTCACCAAATCCATTTTGTTTTCTCTCTGAGCAACATTTCCCAGACTTCCCACAGTCAAGCTCATGTGGCTAATGGGATACGTGTGGAAGTGTGAACTGTACTTCCAAGCCCGGCCAGTACAAATCTCCTTTATGTGACTCTCCATTCTCCCTTGCAGTGACTTTGGAGGCCACATATCAATAGTAATATTGTCAAAAGATGGAAGGAATCTGGGATTCCTGAATGACTGTGAAGCAGTCTAGACTCCCCCACTCCCCAGCTGCCAACTGTATCGAGCTATGATTTAGGAGGTTGTTTGTTACCCCAGTCGGATCACCCTCACACATACTCCTGTTACACGCTAGATGTAACACCACACACACATATACACATTCATGCCAAGTAAAAATTGGCTTGAGGATTCAATAATAACCTAAATTATCTTTCAATGAGACAGATGTCATGAAGCAGGAGGACTGCTGAGCTGGGGATGAGGTTGCCTGAATTCAAGCCCTGACTCAGCCACTCTTTAGCCATGTGACCTCAGGCATGTCTCTTTACAAAATGAAGAGTATTGGATTAACCGAATGGTTAGAGCCTTTCCAGAGACATAAGCTTCTACGACTATTAGAAGCTCCATCACAAGAGAGGCTTGAGGCTTGGTTAACTGCCAAATAAAGAGCATCAACAATCCATCCAGGAGTCCGAGAGAGAAAGAATGGGACTGGGCTGCCTTGGAAAGCCTTCAGAGCAAAGGGGAGGCTGAGTGGATCTTGAAAGCTCTCTAGAGTGTAGGTAGAGAGAAATGGGATGGAAGGGGTCGTGAGCAATAGAAGTAGAGGCAGGGTGCTGTGACTGCCCCAAACTACTTAGGAAAAGGTGAACTGACTGATGAAGCTCAAGGAGCACTTGTGTGCAGACAAAAGTGAGGCCAAAAAAAAATCGTCTTTGTCCAGAATGTGGTGTGGACTTTATCTTGCAGTTGGTAGTAAGAGTGAGTTGTGGAAGGTTTCTGTGATAAGGGTGACAGGATATTCAGCAACAGTACAAAGGGCTGGTCAGATTTCAGGGGAAGGACATCAGAGAGACCCCAGATACAGGGCACTCCTGCCATGCTGGATTTGTGAGGTAATAATGGGAGTCTGGCATAAGGGAGGGACAGATGAGGAAAACTTACATTGATCGTCTCTGTGACCGATGTCTGTGAAGGCTTAAAGAGGAGAGACGACTGAAGTTTCTAGTAGCTGACGGGCAGACTGGTTGTGTACTTCAAGAGAAATAAGGTAGCCGGAAAGGGTAGGAGGAGGAAGATGACACAGGTAGCTTCAGACAAGGTGGCTCTCACATATTTTCCAACAGGAAGATCAGACACAAGGTCTGGAATTTAGAAGAGTCCAGGCTGGAAATATAGATTTGAAAAAGCCAGAGTTTGCTGACCACAAGGGCCAGTGTTTCTCTGCTCTTGCGTGTCTCTCTTCTACAGGTTCTTCCAACTGCTGGTTTCCACCTTTCAGACCCAGCCCAACTCTGCTTCGCCGGGAATTGAATATTAGCTCAGGGCTCACATCCCCTGGTGTTGGTGTGTGGTTTGATTGACCTATCCTTACTCTGCCAACTGCTTGTCCATCTCCAACTTCAGGATTTCGTGCATGCCCCATGCACTCTCAGGGCAGCATTCTCCGTTCTTATCGTTCCTGAAATACGGGACCTATTAGGGAATCACCCTCCACCCTGATTTTGCTCGTTCTGAAAACTATACCATCCCAATTAATTTCAAGAGTCCTAGCCTTAGGCTCACTGTTAGGATTCAGTGTGGAGTAACCATTCAACAAAGGACCTCCTCTTATGTCTCTTAAAGGGGACCATTAAGTATTTTGTCAAAGACTGCCCAACTTCCTGGCTGGTGACTATCATTAGAGTCTGGGTCATGTAAAAACAGGCTAGCCAATGAGTCTAAAATCTCCAGTATGATGAAAATTCCACTGGTGGGTGGGGCTGGATGGCTCTTCCTTATACTTACTCACTTATACTTGGGGTTATAAGTGAATCTGAAATAGTGCTGACAAATCAGTTAAGACACAGTGAGGGTAAAATCTATGAAACCGTAAGAAACACAGACTCGATTAATTCTAGACCCAGGAAGTGGTAGATATAAATGTACCAGTATAAAACCACTTCCTGGTCTAAAATTGAGTTTGAGGGTACAACACATAAGGCATTTTCCAAGAATAGATAAAGATTTAGGGGGTCACAATGAACACCAGGAGTTGTGTAAGCCAGTTCCATATCTGAAGAATAGAAAGCAGGAATTACTCCAAACAGACAAAAAAAATTCCTATCTTATAAGAATCATGAGCTTCTAAGAAAACCATGCATCCTAGATTCTATAGTTTAATAGCATGTTAGATGAAAACAATCTATACATCCCTATCCAGTCGGTTTGCCAAGTAAAGGCAGCCCTCAGCTTAGTGCTATTTTCAAAAGAGAAGGTTGCAAACCTCTAAACATGTTCTCAAGACAATTTCAATTTTAGAGGACAATAATTTATATATTTTTTGGAATTCCTTTTGCCTAAGATTTGGGTATATACATCATTTTATCTCTCTTACTCAGCCATTCAGCATAGGTCCTCATCCCTCCCCTTTATAACAGCATGCTTAGCCAGGAAAACTAATTGCTTCTTTAGTAACTGGCAGGTGGTCCTACAGGCCAACATCTGGACACAGGTGAAGCAGCAGGATCCACAACAGCTGCTAGGTTGCAGCCCGTTTCCTACAGCAGATGGGATGAAAAGAGCTGCTGCTGGTCTGGGGGGTGCTGCACTCACATCCTGCACCCAGCACTTAGAAGCCTTTGTCCACCCTCCTGTTGTGGCTCCAGAGGACAGCACCCTCCACACTCAGTGCTCAGAAACGGACTTAGCCACATACGGCACCCACTGACACATCATGTCTTTGCTTCTTGATGGGCTCTAAAGGTTGGCTTATCACCATCTCCCAGGCACCTCTTTGCTTCCCTTCAATTGCAAGGTGTCTCCCAGTCCCCACAGAGAAAGCTGTTTCCATGCTTCTACCTGAGCCCTAAGATCTCAGGGGGTTTCCCCGATGCTCACCCTGAGAACAACTGGCCGAGAGTATGTAGATAAGGCAGCCTGAGGCGTCTCTAAGCTGAGCACACCCTGCTTTGTGAAGTCAAGAAGAGAAGGATGACCCCTGCAGGTGCCATCTGTAATGAAAGCAAAACTGCTGGCGAAGGCCACCTGTCTCAGTTCTTTGACCTTACCTGGTTCTTTGACATGTTCTTTGCCTTCCGGTTCCTGAAATCCAATAGACAATAGAGTAGCATCAATAAATTACTAATAATTTCTTTACATTGAGAAACTGTCCCTGGGGACTGGCCCGGAGGCGTAGGGTCAATAGAAACAATAATAAAAAGCTCTAGCAATTATGCTGTTGAATGCACCTCGTGTGTAGTGTTCTATCTACTTGGTCCAAAATCATTGGTCAAATGAGTCACAAATAACAGAAATTCCAATTAACACCAAGTGTTTGGGGTATGGAGTGGGCCCTAAATCTTTTCCCCCATTTAACAAGTATTGAGTGTTTGCTATTAACCAGCACCGGGCCAGATGCTTTACAGAGGTTGTCTCTTTAATCCTCACAACAATCCAACAAGGTAGATACTATGACTATCCCATTTGACAGTCAAGGAAATAGTACATGCAGTATGGATCACTGTCCCCTCAAAGTGATGTAAAGATAAAGCAAACAGAGCAAGTTCCAGGTTAAAAGCACCCAGGACAAACAAACCCAAAAATTTATACCTTCAAACCACCCTTATTACAATCTGAAAATTCTGACTTTTCCGAAAGTGCCTAAAATCAAACAAAAAGCGCCCCCTCCTTCATTATTCCATAACTACCTCATGACCACTCTCACTCCCTCCACATCTGTAAGGTGCCTTCTACTCCAATTTGATTTATACTTCTCATCCCACCGTATTCCCCATGTTGTGATTCCCTTCCCACACACCTCGGCAGAACATCCTACTTCCCTTTTACTCATGTTTTGACTTACCTTTGTTGGAATTTCCCCCTCAAAGGCATCCTGGACCTTGTCTGGGGCTGTGGGCAACTGGACAGTTAACTTGAATGTTCCTTTTCCTGGCCATATTAACTCATGGTTCTTTTTCTCCAGAACTTTTTGCCGAACTGAAGTTAAAAAAAAAACTGTCAAGAAATTTTTATTCACAAAATTACTCCATGATTTCCAGAGAGTTTCATCATCATCATTCAATGGCTTGGTCATTTTCCCAAGCGAGTCCTTGTGTGGTGAAAAGAGGAAAAGTTTAGCAAGTAGACATGGATTTCAATTCCATCTTTATACCTACTTTTTTTTTTTAACCTTGGGCATGTTCTTTAATAAGTCTTACTTACACAGCCTCAGTCTCTTGTCTATAATAAGTTATTAATGAAGACTGTCTTGTACAAGTGTTGTGTGTTAAAAAACATTATAAAGAACTTAGTTCAGTACCTGATGTTCAGTAGGCACTCAGAAAGGTAGCAATATTTATTCCACAAGTGAAGGAAAGTAATCAAAGCATGCCTCATGGTGAGCCAGTGAAGATTGGGTGCTGGGACATGGCATGATGACAGCTGTGTTTTAGGAAGGCGACTTGAGTGACTATGAGCAGAATGGCCAAGTGCCTAGTGCAAAAGATGTTTCACTCAGTTCTTTAACCTGTGATAAGAGCCTCACATCCAGTAATAAAAGGAGTAGAAAAGAAGGGAGGGGAGAGATTAAAAAAAAAAATAGAATTAGCATTCCAGGCAGCTCGGCTGTAGTGAAAAAACTGACCAATGAACATAGGAGTCCAAAGACTTGGATTCAAATTCCAACTCTGCCAAAAACTAGATGAGTGACATTGAGAAAATATCTTAACTTCTTGAGTCTGTTTCCTCCCTTAAAGCAGTGCCTGTGAATGAATTTTGTAACACCCACAAGAGTTATGCAAATGTAGGTTATAATTATGAGGAACGGCCAGAGAGAGAAAAGGAAAATCTGTACCTAAGGCCACAGAAAATAGGGAATGAGTGACTTTAGAGGAGAGGAGATGTGGTCAAAATAGTTAGATGGCACAAAGAGGTCAGGGTGAAGGGGAACCTTTGAAAGTGCCCTATTACTCACAGATGTAGCTCTGACATGAATGTTGGGCTACCATGTTGTATTCTAATGTGGATGGTCTGAGAGGCCAAGGATATAGGGAGTCAGTAAGAGGAGCTTGAATAACTTTCCCACCTCACGTATCCATGAAGGGGTAGGAGAAGTGAGGCCTTAACTGGATACTAACTTGGAAAACAAGCCCCGGGGCGCCTGGGTGGCTCAGTCGGTTAAGCGGCCGACTTCGGCTCTGGTCATGATCTCGCGGTCCATGAGTTCGAGCCCCGCGTCGGGCTCTGTGCTGACAGCTCAGAGCCTGGAGCCTGTTTCAGATTCTGTGTCTCCCTCTCTCTGACCCTCCCCGGTTCATGCTCTGTCTCTCTCTGTCTCAAAAATAAATAAACGTTAAAAAAAAAAAAAAAAGAAAACAAGCCCCATTAACAACATGAGAAGGAATGCCAGACTCTAATTTCGCTCTTTATCAGGCAGAAGAGATTTTCACACGGATTCTTAAGGGGCTGTCCTAAGCTAGAGTGAGGACTGAGGACTGGATAAGACCCCTGAAGCCTTAGAACAAGCCAAGTTTTATAAGCCAAGTTGTCTAGAGTCGTGGGCTTCTGTGATGCATTCCTTTTATTATTCCTTAGACTTTGGTAGAGTCCTATCTAGGCATCTAAATGCCAAAGCCTGTTCTCAGATTGTGCACAATATGTACGGCACCATTATTTCAAGAGAGCAGGCAGGAGCAATATCAGTAAGTGATCTGCAACAAGGAGAGGTGAATCTGGGAGGAAAAAGAGCTGAAACTCTGATGTCCAGCCACCCTTACCCCCTGTGGACAACCTCCCTTCTGCACTAACTTCAGACCACCTACATTTAATTTACTTAAGGAGACGGGTTTCCTTACCCCAAAGAGACTGAAAATAATCAGGAGCCAAATTATGACCAGAAAGAATGATAAATGCACACATCTGAAACACGGATTAAAATCATATTAGTCAATTTATACTTGATGTTTCAGAAATTGAGTGAACTATTTACAAGTAAGATACAGCAGGGTGCCTGGGTGGCTCAGTTAGATAAGCATCCAGCTCTGATTTCGGCTCAAGTCATGGTCTTGCAGTTGGTGGGTTCGAGCCTCACATCAGGGTCAGCTCCTCGTTGTCAGCTTGGGATTCTCATTCTCTCCTCTCTCTCCCTCTCTCTCTGTCCTTCCCCTGCTCATGTGAGCGTGCACACACACACACACAGACACACACACACACACACTCTCTCTCTCTCAAAAGAAATAAACTTAAAATAAATAAATAAACAAACAAATAAAAGTAAGATATAGCTTCCGAATACTTCTGTTTGCTATGCATTAATTTCTATAGAGAAGTGCTGTTGGGTTCATTCTTATTATGTGAATTATATGGATAAAGTTGTGCTACACTGTGGGCCTATACCTGTTGAAGCCAGTTCCTAGAGTGGAGGGTGGAGGGAATTCCTGCAAAAGAAAGAACACCCGGAGGACCCACTAGGGTGGGTCAACCATTGTTGGCAAATTTCTGATAACCTGTTACAGAGGCAATGGTTCCTCTGGTAGGAAACTGAAACTGAATAGGAACCCTCCCCCTCCCCCCAACCACCCAGGGTCTTTCTCCATAAAAGGTTTTGAGTTGTACTAAGTCTGAGTTGTCTGTTTCAGAGGGGCCACTACTGTAGCCTGGGGATGGAGGTAGGGGTAGTGGGCTGGGCAATGTGAGGAAAGAAGCCCGGCCGGGACACTGAAACCACTTCTGTTTTCAGGGCTGGAAGAGAATGGTTATCGACACAAAACCGTATTTTGCACTGTTGATATTTTTATGCCATTTGTACTTTCTTTTTTATGCCATTTGTACTTTCTGTAATCACATTCATTCAGGGTTGTCAACAAACAGGGTTTCTCAAACTTTAGCACACCAGGGGCACCTGGGGTGCTGTTTAAATGTGCAGATTCCCGCTGACCCAAACCCAGGTTTCCTAAATCTCTAAGAGAGAGCTGGGACTGTGTCTGTTTAGCCTGCTGTGAGTCAGATGCAGAGGTCTGTGGCCCCAAGTTGAACTACTCACGAGGATAACGGGATTCTAAAGGAGAAGGAAGAAGGGTCCCTAAGAGCCAGGCTCATATGGTGTGGACAGTTGTAATCAAAGTGGTAAAACTCCTTGAGGAAAATGAAACCCAGGGGACACGGCTTACATTGCACAGTTGCCCTCTCAGCATTCTTTGGTGAAATTAATCCTTGGAAAACTTGGTACTTTGTTTTCATAAGGGCTGTGAGCCTAACAGATCTCCTGTCCCCTACCTGCCTCGCCTTTTACACACTTAGTTGTGGACCCCTCTTCTCTCTGGGTTTCATTCTTTCCTTTTTGGATCTCTGCCTAGAGCATTCCAATTTCTCACATGTAAGCCTCATTGCCTCTCCTCTGGATCAAATACTTGTCCAAATCCAGCGACAGGAAGCTGGAAGCAGGGGTTGTCCACATCATTTCCTATGAGAGTCCAAAGGAAAAAGCAAATGCTCTGGGAACAACAGGTCACAAGCCTCTCAGTATAGACCCGGTAGTGTTTTGAACAAGCAGATTGGTGGGTGCTTATCTGCACCCTTTCCTAAGGGTGACAACAAACCGGAGGAGGACGAACTCAGCCACTCAGCTGCCTGTGGGGAGGAAGCTTCCCACCCACAAAGCTCAAAACTCCCAACCCAGATCAACTCAGAATGTCACCCCTACCCCCAGGCCAAGGACCACCATGAAACCAAGGGAAGAGGTACCAACGCACCCTCAACAAAGATTCTGCGTGCCGATCAGCAGCACACAGCCTTCTCTCTCCAATAACTTTCTATATTTACACCCAATGTGATTTTAGGCAGCACTTTTGCCCCCAAGTGACCCCAGAAACACTGGGAGAAAATCCCTATGACTCCTCACCTAAAAAAAAATAACTGAAGAAAACAGACTGTCTCTCTCCCTCCCTCTCTCTCAGAGCATTGACCTCAGTTACCAAATCCAGAATACCACACAAATACGTATCTTCCATCCCCAGGCTGATTTTCATTGTTCAAGGACTCGCTTGTCCTCACCTAGAATATTGCATTACTCTCCTAAAAGTTCAGATTTCCAAGCTCTCTCCCAAAAGAAGTCAAAGTACTTATTTTCAACCAAATTTATCTCCTGAAAGTATATTTGGACATGCCTCTCCCCTGCCAAGGGGGTGGAGGGCGTTCCTGCTCTTTATGGTATCCTACAAGGCCCCCTACCATCTCAACTTTCTCTTAGCCTGAATTTCCTGCCCACCGTTTCATAAGAAGGAGGTTTACTAACAGAAGACCTAAGATTTTTAAAATACAGGTGTCTCCTTCATGACCTTATGAAATTTCCCAGACCCCACGTGTTATTTTAGGACCCAGTCTGCAGACCTTGCTTGTACACAGGGATTAGTAGACTCGCTCGCTACTCAAGCCAAACCTCCCAGAGAGCGCCATGCATGTTGCCTGAAGATGCCTTGTGCTTTTCTGCCCCCTGCACTGCAGCCCACGTGCTCCCATCTGAAGAGCCTTCCCCAATATTCTTCCTATCAGGACTTGAACTGGCTCTCAGGAATCAGTTTACATGTGATTCTCCCCGGAAGCTTTCTCTTCCCTTAAAATTGTGCTCCCATTAACCTCTGGAGTTCTAGAACAGCTGCTTTAATAGGAAGGGAAAAACTGCAATGGACTTGCAACTCTGCCACCAACACACTATGTAGCCTTGTAAAGTGAGGTGAATAAAGCAGCCTGTCAACTCCTTTCTGTTTCTCCGTGCTACATGTTGAACTCACTTGCGCGGCTCTGCCGCCCCCTTCAGGCAACACCGGGAGCGCCTAGAAGCACAGCGCCCCTCGCGCGCTCTTCGTCGGTCCGGCAGCCCCTCGCCCTCCCTCATGGCTGCTGCTGGAGCCGGGAGGATTCTCCGGCTGCAGGCCCCAAGCCC